CTCCAGGGATAAAAAGAAATTATCTGAAAACGAATCTGCTACACTTTACTATAGGCGGTAGAACAAAGTTATTTTAAATATCAATCAGTAACATTGATGAAATAACGGCCGCTAAATTAGAATCAGATGCATATTAATAACACAATATTGTGCAGTTGCCGTTGTATAAACATTGATTTTTGTTTGTTTTTCCGTTCAATAGTACGCTGCGAAATGTTCAGAAACTCTTTCAATCTTATGGTGCGCCAGTTTTCAGGATCGCTTTCAACCTTATGGTGCGTAATTTCCATTTTGCTGTTACTTTATTTGTAACTAGCATTGTTGTAATAACTTGTGTTTCTAAATTACTTTTGATCTTTTTAATTAGGCCTACTGCTTTATTTATGTAACTTAAGTATTTTTTTTTCTTAAAACTACTCCAAGGTTTTATTGTCTTTTTTTTTAGATTGTCCATTGGGGGTCATCAATAAATGACGTCACTCTTTTTTTGACGATTTTTACCTCCCCCCCCCCTCCGTCACAAAAAGACAGACCTCCCCCCCCCCCCCCCCTAAAATGACGCCACGCCTCAACCCCCCTCAAAATTGCAGTTGAACTTTTTTTAAACATCGATATTTTTCCAAAATCTTGTCTAAACTATTACAATTTATTAAAACAGTTATCTAAAAACGCGAAATAACGTCCTACGATTCGTTTTCTAACATTGCTTTTTTATAATGCAAAAAATGTGACGTCGCAACATCTGAACAACCCCCCCCCCCCCTTCATCACACATCGTCACAAAATTACGGCCCCCCCCTCCCCCCTACGAGTGTGACGTCATTTATGGGACCACATTGGTGTGATGAAATCAGAGTTTCTTCCAGGCTTCTCTTCGTAATTTGTTGTCCCCCCCCCCCCCCCCCCCCCCGCAAATTTCAAGTGCACCCCCGAAGAAAAAAGTCTGGAAGAAACACTTGATGAAATGCCACAACTTTAGGACACTAACAACTATACACAAACAACAACACAAAAAATGTGCGCACTAGAACTTTGGTCACAAATGTGTCTTTATTATAATGATCATTACATCTGCATGCAATACATCTGTCACTGTAGCTCACTACAACTTTGTTACAGCGCCGCGGGACAGGTCAAACCACAATGATTTGATCACTTATAACAAATAGGGGCCTATACAACTGTCAAGGTTCCCAGAAAGAACCGCAACGGAAAAAAGCGCAACGGAAAAAAGCGCAAATCAAAAAGCGCAACGGAAATAAGCGCACACGGGAAAAAAAGCGCAAAGAGAAAAAAGCGCACACAGAAAAAAGCGCAAAGAGAAAAAAGCGCAAACGGAAAAAAGCGCAAAGAGAAAAAAGCGCACACAGAAAAAAGCGCAAACAGAAAAAAGCGCAAACGGAAAAAAGCGCAAACAGAAAAAAGCGCACACGGAAAAAAGCGCAAAGAGAAAAAAGCGCAAACAGAAAAAAGCGCAAAGAGAAAAAAGCGCACACAGAAAAAAGCGCAAACAGAAAAAAGCGCAAACGGAAAAAAGCGCAAAGAGAAAAAAGCGCAAACGGAAAAAAGCGCAAACAGAAAAAAGCGCACACGGAAAAAAGCGCAAACGGAAAAAAGCGCAAACGGAAAAAAGCGCAAACAGAAAAAAGCGCACACAGAAAAAAGCGCAAACAGAAAAAAGCGCAAACGGAAAAAAGCGCAAACAGAAAAAAGCGCACACAGAAAAAAGCGCAAACGGAAAAAAGCGCAAACAGAAACAGAAAAATGCGCAACCAGAAAAAACAACGAAAAATGTGCAAAAGAGAAATTTAGCACAAAGACCATATGGACTAGATGACACATTTATACATGACTGTTAGGGCTGCTGTGAGAGTGTCGTGTTTGATCACGTGATCTACTACCATTTAAAGCGTACCACTACCATCTGCATTCCCATCACCACGATACATAGGGACGCTACTCTAAATCTATGCGAATTTCTTTTGTTTACATGTTTTCATTACCCTTCAAACAAAAGTCTATTTTAGTTATATTGAGATTAAAGAATGTAAATAAATAGTATACACAATTCTGTAGAATAGGAACGATTGGGAGGGAAGTAACATTTAGCGCAGTAAATTTAGAGGTTAGGTAGGGTATAATAAATGGTGGGGTTAGGCAAGTTAAGGGGTCCATTCTCTAATAGGCAATCTATGTCTCTTTCGTACTTTCGTGTTGGTTTATTGTCGAACCTGTCCTCACCTCACATCACAACAGTTGGGTGACGCTTACCGTGTAATGTTAAAATAAATAGCATGTAATTGAGTTAGTTCGAAGTGAGTTTTCATACAAGCCCAACGCACTAATTAAGGTTATCGCAAAATGTAACATATATGTAACATATGTCAATGATGTCAATGAATTTTCATTAAAAAAATGATGTCTAGTACAGTTTACGAAACTTACGAACTTCGCCGATACTTTTTTGGTGGGTAGTTTGGTAAGTATGTAGGCGGGTAGGTGGGTAGGTGGGTAAGTGGGTAGTTAGGTAGGTAGGTAGGTAGGTGGGTAGGTGGGTAGTAGGTAGGTAGGTAGGTGCGTCATGATGTGAAAAAATATTAAATACAAAATTGTTATTTTGGTGCGAATGAATGTTGTTACGAGAGATATGACAAATGCATGTTTGATGACGCGGATGAAAGAGAGTGAAGTTTTGCCATAGGAACGGGTTGTTATAGTATGCAAGCTAGGTAGTTCGGACTAGGGAGAATGTGAAAGATACTTCGTGTAATGTCGATAGTTTTATGTTTATACGAGAATAGTAGTTAAATAATTATTGACCAAGAAAATAATAGGCATTGTGTAAAGTGATTATCGCCTGTATCGTGGTGATGGGAATGCAGATGGTAGTGGTACGCTTTAAATGGTAGTAGATCACGTGATCAAACACGACACTCTCACAGCAGCCCTAACAGTCATGTATAAATGTGTCATCTAGTCCATATGGTCTTTGTGCTAAATTTCTCTTTTGCACATTTTTCGTTGTGTTTTTTCTGGTTGCGCATTTTTCTGTTTCTGTTTGCGCTTTTTTCCGTTTGCGCTTTTTTCTGTGTGCGCTTTTTTCTGTTTGCGCTTTTTTCCGTTTGCGCTTTTTTCTGTGTGCGCTTTTTTCTGTTTGCGCTTTTTTCCGTTTGCGCTTTTTTCCGTTTGCGCTTTTTTCTGTTTGCGCTTTTTTCCGTTTGCGCTTTTTTCCGTGTGCGCTTTTTTCTGTTTGCGCTTTTTTCCGTTTGCGCTTTTTTCTCTTTGCGCTTTTTTCCGTTTGCGCTTTTTTCTGTTTGCGCTTTTTTCTGTGTGCGCTTTTTTCTCTTTGCGCTTTTTTCTCTTTGCGCTTTTTTCCGTTTGCGCTTTTTTCTGTTTGCGCTTTTTTCTGTGTGCGCTTTTTTCTCTTTGCGCTTTTTTCCGTTTGCGCTTTTTTCTCTTTGCGCTTTATTCTGTGTGCGCTTTTTTCTCTTTGCGCTTTTTTCCGTGTGCGCTTATTTCCGTTGCGCTTTTTGATTTGCGCTTTTTTCCGTTGCGCTTTTTTCCGTTGCTGTTCTTTCCGGCCACCAACTGTCAAGTACACTGAAATTTGTTTTGTTTTTTTACCGAAAGATAGACCTACGAGTAACAACATTTATAAAAACTAGTAAAGGCTAGTCGCCAACTGATCAATGATCATCTCCGATTAGTGCCTGGGGAGGAGCTACAAAGCACACGTCTGCACAATTTACACAGCTGGCCAGAACCTCCTCGCAATCAGCGACCGAAGTAGATTTTGGAGGAGTTTGCCAGGCTGGCTAACTCGGTTTGTTTAACAGGATATAAAGGGGAGAGAATGGCTTGTTGGAGTGGTAAATCTAAATACCCGCCGGAAGAAATAAACTACCGGGTTGAACCTCAACCCAAATACACTACAACTGTAGTTTAGAAGTTAATGGTGTCTAACAAATCTAAAAGTAATCCGGAAATGGAAAACTACGACAGTATGACAAGTGCCGTGCTAGAACGAAACAACACGAAACAGTTCACTGTGAAGGAACAATTCACTTTGAAGGAACAATTCACTTTGAAGGAACAATTCACTTTGAAGGAACAATTCACTTTGAAGGAACAATTCACTGTGAAGGAACAATTCACTTTGAAGGAACAATTCACTTTGAAGGAACAATTCACTTTGAAGGAACAATTCACTTTGAAGGAACAATTCACTTTGAAGGAACAATTCACTTTGAAGGAACAATTCACTTTGAAGGAACAATTCACTTTGAAGGAACAACATGAAACAATTCACTGTGAAGGAACAACATGTCTATTAAAATCTACACAACTTGCACGCTTTTGTAGTAGGAGTATTTGATCGTATCATTAACAAAAAGAATACAATTCAATAATGTAAGATATACTTTCTTGTCCCAACAAGGGGACACAATCAAGTGACAGTGCGATCTCAGAAATTCTTGTTGAATTAAACTATTAAACAAACGTACTGCCACTGTGTAGAGGAACAACAGGTTTTTCACAAAATAATAATTCTAGTTTGATACAAATATAATTTAGGCTGAAGAGGCACCATACACATTGAAAACCATTTTGCACAAATACTTATAAATAAGAGACTTAATATTAAAAAGTAAATAAACTAATTGTACTTTGACACATTTTTTTCTGACCATCTGTTGTAGGCATTTATAAGTGAAGTCAATTGTTTTTACTACTTAAAAAATCTATCAAAATTATTGACAAACTCCAAGTTTACAGACTCCTCAAGAAGTAAACTTTTGAATCCAATCCAACATTTTCAATAAACATATAGACCAATAAGCATACACTGAATTAAATTACTATTTGTCATGGAATAAATAATATTTTGTAACTTTGACTGGTAGTGTATTTATTGGCCCTACATACAGATACTGTAAACAAACATTTGTAAACCTTGTTGATTTTTATCAGACTAGTGACTAATTGCTTGATGAACTCTGAAGACAATTTTAAAGCCTATGTTTCATCTGCTAGACTTTCTTTCCAAAAATAATTTTCACAGAAAACATAGGTATTTAATTGTTGATTTGTAAAGAACAAAAATATAACATCGCAAAAAAAAAAAAATAATGAAAGCAACAAAAAAAAAACCTTATGGCAAATGGAGACAACAAGTTAAAGAGTAGAATAGAAATTATAGTAAAACATGTATAAAAAATAAAATTATAACATCAGCTGTATAAATTAATGAGCTGCGATTAACTATTTCAGTCAAATAGTTCTGTCTTTTAAGAAATTACAATAGGTATTTTTAGAACGTCTTCAAATTTTTTTTTATAAAAATATTTTTTTTGTCAGCTAGCATGATTATTAAAATTAATCAGCTTATATTTTAAAATGGGTAATAAAATAAATGCAAGCTTTACCTTAAAATAAAAGTTGGAGGTTTTAATGGTAAACATTAATGCCTGCCGAATTTTGACTAGAATAAATTACATTGTGGAGTCGTCTGAATGCAAACAAGAGAAAAAAAGAACAATAATCTCAATGCAATATGTTTGACTATAAATATGGCAAACAAAGATAACAGTTGATAAATAGAAGACAATATCATTGTGAATTGACTTAGAACACAAAATGAAAAGTGAAGTGATAAATACATACTGACCATTGTGAGGACTAACTATTAAATGCATTTCTAAAAGTTTGGCTAGAACATGTTAACTATACCTTGGGGTAAACTTTACATTTTACAATATGTTACTTATATCAAAGTAACAACTTTTAACAAGTAGATGCTAAAAATAGAAGCATTAAAAGAAGACTAATATGGCAACAATTTGACGTTTTTTGACCAGTAGTATAAATAAAATATTTTGATTATAAATCACAAGTATAAAGTTTAAAAACAATTTTAAATTACCTAACTACATCTTTCTAAAAACACAAGCACAATTATCAAAAAACTTGATAGTGCACATTCCATTGTACTAACATCAACTGATCTTAAAAGATAAAGTGCTAATTGGTTATTCTTGATGGTGTCTTTTACAAAAAAGAGATTTTACACATTCGATTTTTTATTAAATTACTAAAACTGTATTTAGGCTAAAATTTTACTAAATTCTTCTAAAGGTGTCAAACAGATGCACTTGAGGTTTACAGTTTAAAAAGTATCATGTGTAAAAGTATCAAATTAGAATGTAAAAAAATATCTTTTGATTTTCCTGGTAAAAATGCAAACAAAACAATGAATGTATTAAAACAGTGGTAAAATAATGCTAGATACAAATTATAATAGGTAGGGATAGGAAGGAACCTCAGATATTATTTAACTATCTTATTATGAATTCTATATTACCTGATGTCAAATCTCGACAATGGGAGAAGAATTTAAATCCAAGATGGCACAAAAATGAATATACATTCTAAAAATATAGAATAACACAAGTTAACAGAAGACAGCTAATATACCATAGCGTGCAGAATAAAAAAAAGCATAAAACTAATTTCTCAATTATCAGCTAAGAAATATTTGTAACATTAAACAAATACCATGTTTTAAAAGTATTAAGTATATAACATTTACAACAATAAAAAATATCAGTCAGGAGTTATTGCTGCTTTAAAAATCAAAACAAATAAAAATGTGGCAACAAAATTTCTTTCATTTTCTATTTCATTATAATCTTAGGTGTTTTTATGTTTCTGTGGGTTTCATTAGCATTACTGTTTCTGAAGGTAGTAAAAAACTCAGAAAGTAATTAACTGCAATAAATAAAATGTTTTTTAAATTGCTAAATAAAATTAGTTAATAAAAAAAATGAAGGGGGTTATTAAAAAATCCTGATTGACCAGGCATTTAAATATAAATTATGAAACAGACCGTAAAAATGTTAACCTCATGAAAAAACATATTTGGTATATTTTTATGATGTATTCAATAAAACAATACTGCTTAAATGTGACAAAACATCAGACAAAATTAGAATGATTTAAAGCTCTTTAAAAATGCTATTTTGAAAATTAAAGCTTTTTAACAAAAGTTTGATATTGCCTAGAGGTGTAAACAACATAGAATACAAATGAATAACTTGAGGATATGATTCCAATATCTAACTTTATACTTGTGTGCATTTGAAAGTACTAGACATATTTATAGTAAATATAAACACTTAAATATTTAGTTTTCAGTTTTAAAAAATGCAATTAAAAGTTTCCTTGAAAAATATTAAGTACAATTTTTTACGCTGTTTGTTCTCTTATTTTAAAATAGAGGGATTTTAAATAAATGTCAATTCTGATTTAGTCTTTGAGTGAAAATCTTTTAAAAATAAAAAACAGTATAAGTGTAAATATTTTAGTGTTGCTCAAGAAAGAAGATTTTTCTACATATTCTGTTACAAATTATGAAACTGAGAATACTAATTTAGAAAGAAATAAAAGCTAAGAATTTTAAATTTTGGCATTGCAGAATTGTAACTCAAGGCTGAATCGATTGTTATCACTGAATAATTTATAATTTTAACAGTGAAATAATTATTTAGGTTACAAAATAAAGGTCTCATTGCCAATACACTGTTTCTTTAACAGTGAAACAGTTTTTACATTCTCAAAATAAATAGGAAATACGTGAGTAATATAAGCAGGTTGAACTAATTCTATAAACTATCTGTACAGGCAGATATCCCGTTAAAATTATGACCAAAAAGTACTGTAAGATAACAGGGCTAGAGACGTCAGCCTTGGTTCTCTGAGGATTTCTCTTCTGACGCTTCCTTGACCAGCTGTTCCAGGCCAAGAGTTGGCTCAGCAGAATCCGCCAGCGGGGAACTGTCATCACCAAAGCAAGGAGCATCCGCGGAGAAGGAGGATGTGGATTCTAAGGACAGCGACGATGTGGACAAAGGGGAGAGAAGCAAAGAAGAAGGGGAGTAACGGTTGGGAGAAGAATAACCTTCCTGCCGGTTGTCATCAGATGCGACATCGGACAGAGAGAACTCAACAGATATGGAGGAGGGGCGTGAGGAAGGGGAGACGACTGCTTCACTTATGGAGTTATCTCCTGTTGTCAGCTGCACCAGGTCTTTGTCCCCCGAGTGTAAGGAAATTTTCTCCGTCAGCTTTAACATTTTCTCCTTGTTCTTCGGCGACTGGGACCCTTCCTTTCTATTTTTAGACGACCTTGAATGTCTGTGATGGTGTTCCACTGGCTCAAGCGCCGATGACGGGATGCTAAAATCCTTGGAAAGTTTGGGGCTTTTCTTGGACTCGATGCGCGAAGAAAAGTCGTGGGAGAGCAGCAGGTCCCTGAGCTGGGAGGAGGAGCGGGTGACAGACTCCACGCACAGAGACATGCGGTCCTGGTTCCTCTTGATTGATGTGGAGTACACCAGGTCACGCACCGCCCGACAGATTTGTATATTGGCTGAGGCTATGCTCATAGACAGGCCTACAGGAGAGAAAACATCAGTGAATTTCATTTTGTTAATGCAGCAGTTTTTTTTAAAAATAACTTGATCAAAATATTACATGGAAACAATCCTTTACAATAACACTATAACTATATAAATATGAGAAAAATATCAAAAGTAAAAAATTTACAACAGGATTTATAGCTCAATAAGTAGTATACAGACAAAGAAACAATGTACTTAAACACAGCATAACAATAGATATTAGCCTTTCTGGATTGAGCTAACAGAAACTTAGAAATCTATAATTTAATCTGCACTGTTAGAACAAAATGTGATAGTGGAGGTGGAGGTGCAAATATCAAACCTCCCACCATCAAACACCACAAATTATTCTACACCTATTCCTAATGTCATACCAAAAGCTTCTTGAGTTACATTTTTTGGACATTGTTAATACTTCAGTGATTTTTGTCTCGAAAGATTGAATGTTAAAAGTAGAAGTTAATCATCACACACCTATGTCCATTAGTTGAAGTAGAAAAGTTCTAAAAAGTTTAATTTAAGCAGAAACGATCTAAAAAGTGGAGTAATAAATGACTACATTTCTCACCTAGAATTGACTTGTACATTTCCGAGGCTTGGCTGGAGAGAGAGCCCGGGGTCCCAATGAAAGTTTCCTCACTAGCAAAGCGCAGGAGGGCGGAGCTGGCGGCTGTGACAGGGTCACAGAATGCCACCACCCTCTGGAGGTGTGTCTCTGTGGGTGAGTGCTTGAAGCTTTTGATGCTGGACACAAGGCAGCCAGTGGTGGAGGTGATGGCCTTGACACACAGCTTGAACTGGTCCTGTGGAGACAAGCAGAGGAGTTGAGAGCTGGGTATAGGTTAATTACAGGCAGACAAAACAGTTTACAACTAGAGGAGTTGACAGCTGGGCATAGGTCAATCACAGGTAGCCAAAATAGTTGACAGCTGGGTATAGGTCAATCACAGGCAGATAAAACAGTTGACAGCTAGAGGAGTTGACAGCTGGGTATAGGTCAATCACAGGCAGACAAAATAGTTGACAACTAGACAAAATAGTTGACAACCAGACAAAATAGTTGACAACTGGGTATAGGTCAATCACAGACAGACAAAATAGTTGACAACCAGACAAAATAGTTGACAACTGGGTATAGGTCAATCACAGACAGACAAAATAGTTGACAACCAGACAAAATAGTTGACAACTGGGTATAGGTCAATCACAGACAGACAAAATAGTTGACAACCAGACAAAATAGTTGACAACCAGACAAAATAGTTGACAATCAGACAAAATAGTTGACAACCAGAGGAGTTGACAGCTGGGTATAGGTCAATCACAGGCAGATAAAACAGTTGACAATCAGTGTCACCCCCATTCATCACAAGAAGGTAGCACACAACAATTAAAATTATTAATACAGCAGTCACTACTACAACAACTTAGTCAAACAAACCTGATCATTGGTATCTGACATTTTTTCACTACAACGACTTAGTCAAACAAACCTGATCATTGGTATCTGACATTTTTTCACTACAACAACTAAGTCAAACAAACCTGATCATTGGTATCTGACATTTTTTCACTACAACGACTTAGTCAAACAAACCTGATCATTGGTATCTGACATTTTTTCACTACAACAACTAAGTCAAACAAACCTGATCATTGGTATCTGACATTTTTTCACTACAACAACTAAGTCAAACAAACCTGATCATTGGTATCTGACATTTTTTCACTACAACGACTTAGTCAAACAAACCTGATCATTGGTATCTGACATTTTTTCACTACAACAACTAAGTCAAACAAACCTGATCATTGGTATCTGACATTTTTTCACTACAACGACTTAGTCAAACAAACCTGATCATTGATATCTGAAATTTTTTCACTACAACAACTAAGTCAAACAAACCTGATCATTGGTATCTGACATTTTTTCACTACAACGACTTAGTCAAACAAACCTGATCATTGATATCTGAAATTTTTTCACTACAACAACTTAGTCAAACAAACCTGATCATTGTTATCTGAAATTTTTTCACTACAACAACTTAGTCAAACAAACCTGATCATTGATATCTGAAATTTTTTCACTACAACAACTTAGTCAAACAAACCTGATCATTGATATCTGAAATTTTTTCACTACAACAACTTAGTCAAACAAACCTGATCATTGGTATCTGAAATTTTTTCACTACAACAACTTAGTCAAACAAACCTGACCATTGGTATCTGAAATTTTTTCACTACAACAACTTAGTCAAACAAACCTGATCATTGGTATCTGAAATTTTTTCACTACAACGACTTAGTCAAACAAACCTAATCATTGATATCTGAAATTTTTTCACTACAACAACTTAGTCAAACAAACCTGATCATTGGTATCGGAAATTTTTTCAGCTGCATGCCTACAAATATCAGTCATAGTTGTCAGTGACTTAGTTAAGCAGCTACACAGATCAACCTGAAATAACAAAATACTTGGTTTTACCACCATAAAAAAGACAAAAAGGTAGAGTAAAAAAAACATTGTAATCTCTGTCAGGCACTAATGAAACATTGCCAGAATACTTGATAAATAAATTAATTTTAAGCTAACTGTAGAATAAAATGTGTTATGCCAAGTGTTTCAATATTTGAAAACTGTGGTGGAGGTCATTAAATTAAACCTACTAGAACATGAGGGTGAAGGTCATTAATATGAACGTACCAGAACATGCGGATGAAGGTCATTCATTTTAGATCTTTTCAACCGTGTGCAGGAAAACTTAATGTCCAACTCCGCCTGGGTCAGCTGGTGCAAGTTTGTAACCGGTCCCGGTTTAGCCGGTTCACTCCCTGGGATGTTGATGGCGATGAGGTAGGCAATGTGAGCAGACAACTCGGAGAGGTAGATGACCACGGTGGTCAGCTCTTGGACACGCTGACAGAACTGTTTCCAGTGAATCTGCTTGCCATGTACCTAAAATGGATCAATTCATTGGTTAAAAAATTAATGACCAAACTATTTTGAAATTAGCTAACATTTTCTGTGTTGAAATGTATGTCTCTGCCTGGATTAAATTCAATTATTGGAATTTACATTTGCTAAGCATTAAGTATTAAGCATTAATAAAATTACCCACACATTATAGAAATATTTTATTAAAAGTTTTAAACAAGTGATCAGAAAATATGTTACAACAACAAAAACAGCACAAATTAGGTAAAATTGTATTTTTAAAAAGCAATAACCAGATAAGAAGTAAGTTTTTCCTAAAGTAAAGAAAAAGTACTGAGGTCACTACTAGTAAAAATTAAAATGAACACTTGTATCAATTTAAAGTGCGGCTAAAACATAAAAGGTGATGTAAAATGATTTATTTATAATTCTGGCCATAAAAATTTGATGCTCTACTTTCCCTGTCCCTTTGAAATGGCTATTGTTTCCTTGATCAACAACCAAAATTATTGTTAAATTCTGTCTAAACAGAGTACAATGTGAGGATAAACAAGAAACTAAATTTAAGAACCCATCCGAACTAACAATCTTAACCTAGCCTACCTGTGTGGCTATATCTCTGGACAGTATAAGCATCTTGTTCAGCTGTCCAATTACACGATCCCGGTACTTAACAAATGTGTCCCCACTGAGGGTCAAATCATCCGGTCTGGAGTAAACAGGTCGCGGCGTGCAAGAGATCAACAGGAGCTCGGAAACTGTCTGGATACGTGTGAGAGATTCGTCGAAGATAAGTACGATACTTCTGGCATTATCATTCATCATAATTTATGAACTTGGTAGGTCTGAAAACTGGAGCTTCATTTGTATTCAGGTGATTTAAAACTGTGCAAAGTCTTGTAGGCTTATCCTAAAAAAACATGAAAGTATATAATTTATTTAGACAATCTTGCACAAACAGGCTAACTATTTTTTTTTGTATTCCAGGTTAAACTAACAGCAGAAAATTATAGTGTGGGTGATCGCTAAAATATTTATAATAAAAGTTATGAAAACAGCTGGTAAAAATGTCAATTATATCATGGTACTCCTGACTAAATACAAAAAAATTGTTTAAACATACAAAATAACAGTTTACAGGCCTAATATGCAGCATATAACATATTTTATATATTTAATAGACTAGTCTAAATGAACAGAATAATGCAAGAAGGGGAAATAGGGGGAAAAAACCCAGAACAAGCAGGTTAGGTAATTAATTAATCAGATTTGAAAACCTCAAGAAATCTATGCGTAGGAATATAAAAAAAATGAATGAAATGCATATCACACTAGAATGGCTGCATAGGAATTTGGTTCTATCTCACTGTTTCAATGTAATTTGGATCTCCAGTCTGTCTGATGGGGTGTGTGATTGCAAGTGGCACTTTATTATTAAACCAAAGAGTAAGTTTATAAAGATAATAACTTAATAAGCCTATGGCGGATGTAGAATTTCACATTGTGACATTACTGATGATTATCTAGTAAATTTAGAATGCATCTAGATCTAGATGTCTAATGTCAAGAATCGGTAAATCTAGATTTATTTTTGACTTGTCTTGAGTTTTTTTGTTTTAACAAACCGAACTCTTCATGGGCCATCAGTGATTTTTAAAAATCTTTCTTTTTATTAAATTTTATTTCTTGTGTCTGTTACGGCGGTACGCCACGGTATGTTTTTATTTTCAGACCATGTTCTAGCGATGTAACACCGAAATCTAAAATACGCAGTTATTTTAACATAGTTTAACTATCAATCTATAATAATTTAACTCAACATATTGCATCACATACTTTCTTTTGTTACATTTCTAAAATCAGTCTGGGCGGGGCCCCCTTTCTTTCTTCAACTTCAAATCAGCTGTTCAAGAAGGTTACGAAACAAATGCTACAACTTCAGCGAATATTCACGAAAAAAAGTATCAAGTACTTTTGCCTATTTTAAAAATGTTTTCAATGTAGGCCTATTTTTTTTTTTTTTACGAAAAGGAATAGATCTATAATTTGTTCTACTGTTCTAAATATTAAAACAAATTCTGTTCCGACAGTCAAACAAAAGCAAATAATAAGATATAAATTTATAGCCTATCATGATATCTATATAGATCTAGTATTACCTAATGAATCAATACCAATCATTGATAATATTATAGGCTTACTATTTTTAATTCGGCGAATTCGTGCATATAATATTATTATTAATAGAATCTAATAAATTTAATAATATTATTATTTATACTTAATTAATATCCAATACTGGCTATTACCAAGAAAAATTTAGAACTAAAAGTCACTAAAAGATCTATTCTATTCATCAATGACAGTCGCAGTTGTTACATTTTGACACCCATCCACATTCGTGAACTTTGGATGGATAACCCCCCCCCCCCCTCCAATCAAATTTGTGAACTTTGGGTGGATACCCCTCTCCCCATGCTAAGATAAAGAATCTAGTCCTACAATAGCTCTATAGATACTAGATAGATCTTATAAAATTTAGGGATTCTAATTTTAGGGTCTTGTATATTATATTGCTACATTAAACTTTAGACAGACCGTGTAGGCTTACGTGATGCATGCACTGCAATAGCATTTTACTAAAGTCCTAATAATAAATATTAAATAAGCCTAATAGTAGATATAGAAAATCTAATCTAGATTTAGGCTTATTAATAAATATGTTGTTCGGGGAGTTGTTATTAAATATTAAAAGTAGAAATCAGCTAGTGTTTCACTTCTTTAGACAGAATGATGTTGAGAAAAATAAAGAAAATGTTTTTTTTTTTAAAGAGCCAGTGATTGCACTTCAAATTTAAAAATGTTTGAACTTCAAACTATTTACAATTGCTGAGTATTAAAAAATTATGTTGAAGAAGTATAGTATAGTTAAAACTTCAGTAATATTTATGAGTATAGTATCTAATTAATTTGGTTCTAATTCAGTGGACTTCAAACCCTCTGGCAGATAAGGTTCGATCCCTTCCAACACTTAAAATTCTTTCTTAATTTTTAGAGTTGGGAGGGATCGAGCCTTATCTGCCAGAAGGTTTAAACTCGAGACTTTTTTTGAATTTATCAACCATGACCTTTTGCCGACTCGACCATGCTTCCATCACAATTAAGGATTACGTGTCAACTGGTTATGCGCCATTGAGGCCATTGACTCCAATTTCAGCCTGCTTTTCTTTTTGGATTTGCTTCCATAGCCTTTGTCCAACCAAGAACAAACTACAAGGCAGCAGTTGTTTGATTTTGGAGTAGTCTCTCCTAAAATAGTGGCTGTCCCCAGCTAACGAGCCTCATCTGCCCGAGATTGTTCCATTGTCTAACGGTTTTTGAACTGACTGACCACCAGCCATGAAGAAATTATAATTTTATGAGCTTAGTAGATCTATATAACGGCACTTACTAGGGTATAATAAATTAGCAGTGCATAAGATTATATATTGGATGGCATGGTGGGATGGTAGAGCTAGCCTCAAAGTCTTGAGTTCCAACAAGTGACTGGAAGACGTCTCAGAGTCCACCCAGCTCTGATGAGTACCTGGCTTACATTTGGGAAAGTAAAGTTGGCTGGACCGAGTGCTGACCACACTATCATTTCATAAGCCAAGATCAAGAAATATATGAACTCTTCTTCATCTGCCCAATGGATTACTAGGTCTAAAAAGGAGCTTTAATTTCCCTCAATAAATGTAGGCTTTATGTTGTAGATAATTGCTACATTACTACACAGCTAGCAAGCAAACTTTAATAAACTGTAACACTAAAACATTTCTCATATAACATTTTATTTACTTTAACAACTTTTATTTAAGGATACATTTGTTTAAACAATATCACATGGTTGTAGGTGTTTCTGATATGCTGTTGTGTTAATGTGACATATGGCAGTAGGCCTATATGGGAGATCATTCTAACACATACATTTTCTAACATAAAAATTTACTCACAAAACACCCTGGCAATGTCAGCTGACAAAATAAACACAAAAATATATGAATTATTAAAAATATAAATTTAATAAAAATATATTTTGTGTTTTAATAATAAAATGTTTTTAGATAAAATGCTCTAGGTGTTATTTATATAGCCTACCACATTAGCTGGAAATGGTAAAATAAAAATACTGACTAAATACTCCACACAAAATTAAAAAAAAATCAAATTATTTTTATTTCAATGTATCTACTCAAAATTGTGTACCCGTTTTGAAAAAAAATATTGTTCTGTAATATAAAATGATGAAAAATTATTTGAAAGGTACAGTCTTTTACGTCTCGTATTTTATTAGATACCTTTTCCAATCTGGTGGTCCAAGGGGCACATGAAGTATGGTTTATCTGTTTCTGTGACCTTGGCATATTAAGGGCTAGTAAGTCAGGTACTCATAAGAGCTGGGTTGGCTCAAGGATGTCCTACTAAGTCAAGCCCGGGATTGACCATGGGTTTCCACTGGTCTCATAAATAGTATAAATATTCTGTATATACTGTCACCAGTAATGTCATTGCCAGCAATGATGCCACAGCCAACAATTATGTCACTGCCACAACTAATGTCATTGCCAACAATAATGTCATTGCCACTACTAATGCCATACAACAAAAGATGCCAGATATATAAAAATGAAATGAGCCAACATATTAAAAATACACATTTCATTTTGTAGTAATTTAAACATGTATTTTCCATAGGGAAACAGGCTTTAAGAAATTCTGATTATTTTTAAAACCTGACCACTGCAGTTCAGTATTTTAAAATGTAGTAAAGAAAATTTTTATGGAGTGAAATTCATCAGCTAGACATTAGAAAAAGCTAACTTCAAAGCAAATAAAATAACTAAGACAATACAAGTAACTTAAAAAGAATAAATACAATATTTTTATTTACATGGTAATTTCATCTACTGAAATAAATAAATCATCAAAACAACAGGGTCATCCACTAATGAATTTCGGTTTCACACAAGATAATGTAAAAATCTTCAAAAATGTAATCGTTCTCTAAAAACATCTTCAATATTCTAATTCTGTGATGTACATTGTATACCTTACAATGCTAATATTTTGTAATAATTTATATTAATCAGTTTTTTAGGGCTTTTGAGTAAGTATTTTAAAGTTCACATATGATTAATTTACATAAAATTCCACTTAATGACATAAGCCTAAATAGTACACCCATTATAAATATTAGATTTTTTTAAAATGTGTTTCCCCCTTCTATTATAACAGATATATAATAATATTTTAAGATTTTTGCTAATATGGAATGAACATAACCAATATAAAGATTTTTTCCATTCAGAAATGTCAATTACAAAATATTGTAAGAGTAAAATCTAGAAGTGTGTTGAGAAAACCAATAAAGAGTTTTGAAATAATAAATATTTGATAAGCTCATGTTTTGTTTAAATTTTTATTTTCAAATAAATCTGATAGGAAGCAGTAAATAAATATTTTTGTCTGCACATTTTAAAAAGTTTGAATAAACTAAAACAACATTGAGTTCATGTAATTACATGTTGAGCTGTATTATATATGATAAATCAATATTATTATTTGTTACAGTTAATTAATGGAGAAAATATTTGTGGGCGTCCACATTGACTTCAAACCCCCTCTCTCAGTGCAGAACAGTTAATTTTTGTCGGACTCATATGTCCCGTTTGGACATCATGAATGGACGACCCACAAAATTAGCATATTTATATGGCACAGGTGTGTGTGATAGAAGTTAGAAGTCAATCAACAAAATATTCTGGATGAATATGCAAACAATAGATTCACACACCTGTAACCTCAGAAGGCAACCAATCAAAACTACTCTGGCTATGCCAAATACAACATACTAGTCATATACATCATACTAGTTCATCTACATGCAGATAACAGATACACACACCTGTCACCCCCAACCCAGAAAGCAATGAACCAAAGCACTCTGGTTATATCACATACATCATATAGTTCATCTATATACATAGAATAATTCACCTGACTTCAATACATTGTATACCATGTTAAGTTAATCATTTGAGTTAATATTACTAAGTTTTAATGACTGTTCTTTAAACTTTACAATTGTTAATGATAAATTAAAAACAAAATCTGACAACTAATAGTTGTCCAAACTATATGTTAAAACACATGTTTACTACATTATGTTTTACTATATGACTTAAGCTATAAATAAGTGACTGTGTTTCCATACGATATCATTAATGTGTGACAGGATAAATGCTATGAACAGCAACAGCAAACCAATTATCAAGACAATTTTTATACAAGGGAAATTACTATGAATATCAAAGTATAACTCTAGATCCATAATTCAATGTTGTACACATTTTGATTAGTTGTCCTGAATTTCTTCCAATGTTTTTTTCAGACATCTCTTCAAAAGCCATTGCCCCCCTCTCCCAAAATAGAAATTTTTAAAAAACTTAATATAGAAAATATATACTTTACCAGAGGTCTGAGAGAAACACTCATCTCACCAATGACAAATGTTGCTATAACACATCACAGAATGGTATAAAAATCTATATACAGCTTCAGTGAAAACAGTTTGGAGAATACAGAGAACGAATGTATTCTCCACAACTTAAAATATTAGCCAACAATTTTGTTGAAGAGAAATTCACCAGGAGTAAAAACAACAAAACAAATTAGAAACACTTGTTAAACTACACACATAAGGAAAAAAAACAACAAAACAAATCAGCAACACTTTTTAAACTACACACATAAGGAAAAAAACAAATTAGCAACACTTTTTAAACTACACACATAAGGAAAAAAACAACAAAACAAATCAGCAACACTTTTTAAACTACACACATAAGGAAAAAAAACAACAAAACAAATTAGCAACACTTTTTAAACTACACACATAAGGAAAAAAAAAAAAACAAATTAGCAACACTTTTTAAACTACACGCATAAGGAAAAAAAACAACAAAACAAATCAGCAACACTTTTTAAACTACACACATAAGGAAAAAAAACAACAAAACAAATTAGCAACACTTTTTAAACTACACACATAAGGAAAAAAACAAATTAGCAACACTTTTTAAACTACACGCATAAGGAAAAAAAACAACAAAACAAATCAGCAACACTTTTTAAACTACACACATAAGGAAAAAAAAACAACAAAACAAATCAGCAACACTTTTTAAACTACACACATAAGGAAAAAAACAACAAAACAAATCAGCAACACTTTTTAAACTACACACATAATGAAAAAAAACAACAAAACAAATCAGCAACACTTTTTAAACTACACACATAAGGAAAAAAAACAACAAAACAAATCAGCAACACTTTTTAAACTACACACATAAGGAAAAAAACAACAAAACAAATCAGCAACACTTTTTAAACTACACGCATAAGGAAAAAAACAACAAAACAAATCAGCAACACTTTTTAAACTACACACATAAGGAAAAAAACAACAAAACAAATTAGCAACACTTTTTAAACTACACGCATAAGGATAAAAACAACAAAACAAATTAGCAACACTTTTTAAACTACACACATAAGGAAAAAAACAACAAAACAAATTAGCAACACTTTTTAAACTACACACATAAGGAAAAAAAAAACTCCAGCACTTCATTTATAGAGTGACAGTCATAATTAAGTCATTTTAAAAGAGGGACAGAGTATAAAGTCATAATCAGGGGCGTAGCGAGGGGGGGGGTGCAGACTGTACCGGGTGACAACATTTAGGGGGGTGACACCAAGGCAAAAAAATATATATATCGAAAATCTGAAAGTTTGTCCCCGGGAAGGGTCGCTACGCCTCTGGGGGTGACACCATTAAGTGCTGCACCGGGTGACACCCGTCCTCGCTACGCCACTGGTCATAATTATCTAAGTAAATATACAGAGGCAGGGTTTTTTTTTCTGCCTGAAAAAAAAAACTGGTCAGTGGACTTAAAAGTTTGAAAAAAATGTTACATAATTCTAGTTTTCATGTAGCTATTCTCATATCTAAAACTACAGTAATTTGTACATCTGCTTAATCATTGGATAGCGATAACATTGATTTAATAAAATAGCCTATTGTTACTATTAGAAAAAGAATACCAACTCTCGTACACTATGGACATTGAATCAAGTTAGCAGGTACTTATAAGTACTGGACAGTCATGTAGCCTAACAAACACCACACCGTTACAAGAGAAGCAAAGCCAGCATACTAACCCAAGCGCAAGACAATATTTGTAGAGTCCAACCAGCAAGTCCCACACTGGGCAATCCTGCTGTAACCTCTGACCTTACTTCACCATCTACTGCTGGAGTACCTGAGTAACAGCATCAGTTGTAATTTGCTCAGTGTTGATCCCAAATGTTCATTACGAATAACATCACTACAAAATATCACATGAAATAAAATAATTTCAAATTAAAACAAATTTTTACACAAAAACTAACAGTAAAACATTTTCTTACATCTCAAATAGTGAATCATAACTAAAACATTTAAAGTGTAAATACACAATGTAACCAGAAATACAATAAAAATTTTTTTTGATATTCTAATATCGAATATTCCTGTAAGAATCGGTTTGAAAAAAAACAAATTATACTATTTATGCTATATTCAAAACTCATTCAGTTAAACATATATTGAAATACATTAATCAGACATAAAATTAAAATGGTAAGTTTCATGGGCAAAGTTTAATTTTTTTTTTAAATGATCTAAATAAGCATCACTTGATAACCTATTAGCAAAACACACAATAAAGTTTGTACTTGATAATACAACACAGGCTTGCCATTAGACAACCCTGTGTTATGAATGAAACTGAAAACTAACTGTTATTTAAAATTTATAGTGTGCTTTGTTCTCCTTGAAGACATCATATTTTACTTAAATTTGAAAATGATACATTTAATAGTGCAATAACTACTTTACTAAACCTGTAGGTGGTGAGAATGTTGGATTAATAAGTCTAGATACATATGACTTAAAATTGGAAAACAAAAAAAGTTGCCATAAAGAGCAAAAAATTTAAAGATATGCTAAAAATAACAAAGAAAACAGTTATGAAACATCATAGCACTACCATATTTGTCTAGGTCTCTAACTTCCTAAGTTGCGAGATATATTAAAAAAAAAAATTTAAGTCTACACTTTAAAACTGTCCTTGAATTAAGTTCCACTTTAGTGTAAAAATGCCAGTGGTGACAAATTAGAAATGGAAGGTGATTGTATTAAAAATAAATTCTAATAAATTAACTCCTTATTAGCGAAAATAAAAGAGTAGAAGAAAAAAAATGAAATTATAAAAAAAAATGTAAACAAATTTTTAAGTGTGTAAAAATGTTTAATTTATCTTGTGTTGTAAATAAGTTTCTAAATTGAGCATCACAAAGACTAAACTGACTATCAAAATACACATGGTGTACAGAAAATGTAGCAGACAGACTAGAAGTAGAAGTAACACTTCGTATCCATAGTCTTAATAAAAAGTGTCACCTACATTAATTCATCCAGTTGGATTGAATCTGGAAATATATTTGTAATAAGCACAACCTTTCTCAAATTTTGTTGGCAAAATTAGTTTTCACAAAGCCGACAGTCAGTGTTTACAAAGCTGACAGTCCATTACAAAAGCTGTCAGACATCCCCTTGCCAACCAGCCCCGCCCCCCTGTCAGGCCCACACGAGCCTTCATCCTCGCAGCTTGCTGAATTTTTCACTTTCAGATTTGTGATGCAAATTTTCTTCTCCTCACAGCAGTCTGCGCTGCCATTCAAGGAGCCGTTGGGTATAGTCTTAGCGAGATCAACACTGGGCCCACGCTGCAAGAGAGTGACCCCAGGATCACAAGCCTCTGTGTGGATTACCTTGGATGAATCAACAGGCTTCTTAACTGTCAATGGAGATGTTGAAAAAAACGGATGTGTTTTGAAAGCCAAGAGTTCTGGGTTATCCAATCTTGTAGTGGATTCTGTTATATCATTACGGATAGCTGATATAAGTGCATCTGGGAGAAAAACATGCTATAATTAGAAAATGTACACACAATTTTTTTTTAACTACCTAGTCAACACACAGTAGGCCATCTATTGTCAAGCATGGATCAGGATGGTTACCAAAAAAAAACAACAACAACAGGATATGTGCTGCGGGGAACAAAAGGCATCTGGGAGAAAAACATGCTATAATTAGAAAATGTACACACAATTTTTTTTTAACTACCTAGTCAACACACAGTAGGCCATCTATTGTCAAGCATGGATCAGGATGGTTACCAAAAAAAAACAACAACAACAGGATATGTGCTGCGGGGAACAAAAGAGGATGTATGATGACCTCATTAACAGGCTCTTAAGCAGGATGCTATCAATGGGAACATCTGTCACATTTACCATAAATAATTCATTAAAAAACACAGATGTATACTATATTATATTACCTACCACTTTCTGATTTAGTTAAATACATTAATTATTAATGAAAAAAAAAAACATGAAATAATATCCTATAAAACTGTTTTTGTTAGTTACACGTTTTTCAAACTAACTGACACAATTGGTTTAACAGAGAATTTTAATGATCTTTGGGCTGGCGTAACTGGGGGAGATGAGACACACTTGTTAGATAATTTCTATATACATTTTTTTCTTCTGTTTATGGGGAGGGGGGGGGGGTTAACCTCCCCCTTGAAAGATGCCTGAAAGAAACTCCTATAGCTACTTATTAACGCATAGTGATAGGATATGATAAAAAAAGATGTTACATTTGCTGAAAACCTTTTTAAACACACTTAGATTTACACAATTTTAAATCCTCAAATAATATAGGACTATATTAGTGTGCGGATTCTGATACTTATTTGTAATTGGACCTTTAATTAAAAATAAATAAGTCACACTTTCAATGAAGACAAGATGTTTTCGTACATGCAAAAACAAATACCTGAAGCTCACATTAAGCTACAAGCAATTAAAACGTGAAAGTTAATCAATAATTAACAGCAACAGGTGAGGAGGGGCCAGAGCTAAGGTACATAAGACACTCAACTTACCAAGTGATTTAAATTTAAAGTCACACACAGAGCTAAGGTACAGAAGACACTCAACTTACCAAGTGATTTAAAGTCACACACAGAGCTAAGGTACAGAAGACACTCAACTTACCAAGTGATTTAAAATCACACACAGAGCTAAGATACAGAAGACACTCAACTTACCAAGTGATTTAAAGTCACACACAGAGCTAAGGTACAGAAGACACTCAACTTACCAAGTGATTTAAAGTCACACACAGATCTAAGGTACAGTACAGAAGACACTCAACTTACCAAGTGATCAAAAGTCACACACAGAGCTAAGGTACAGAAGACACTCAACTTACCAAGTGATTTAAAGCCACAGAGCTAAGGTACAGAAGACACTCAACTTACCAAGTGATTTGAAGTCACACATATCCCGAATATAACCCAGAACAATCACTTGCAAGTGATCACCATAGAAATCTTCTTCAAAGTTGTGTAGGATGTGGGTTTCCTGATAAATTATTAAATTATACCAGGTCATTTACTCTCTTTATCATAATGTCATATGTATTACAAGTAAAGTAAATTGCTACAATTAATGTTTTATTAAGCCTGCAAATTTTAACAGTTGTGTAAGTCCTCTGATAGGTGTTGTGTACTGCTACAAGTGCAGTGTGAGAATACGACCACAGCACAGCTCATTCTACAGTTTACTTCTCACATTAAGTGAGTTATGCTTCTCACATCGACCCCCCCCCCCCCTCCTACAGAGACGTGAGGCTAGTCTTGGTGGCAAGCAAAATATTTTTCATTCCAAAGGCACAACAGTCATCACTCAGAAGCAATAAATTCATCTCTCAAGTTAAATCTTAGACCCAACACATTTATCACTCAAATAGTCAACTTAACAGAATCATCATTCAAAAGGTTATCCCAAAACATCTCTCAAAAATTCAACCCAACTAATTCACCACTGAATTAAACCCACCAGATTCATCAGTCCAACTCAAAAAAGACTGTAGCAGGTAGCCTTACCATAGTTTTGACTGTGTTGTGGTAATAAGGATTCCACCCTACACTCATTGTCATTTTAAAAACATCCGGTCTGCTTTTCAGCTTGGCCAAACCGTAGTAGACACCACATTTGAAAGTCTCTGGTAGATGTTTGACCACATCTTCTGGGAAGTTGGCTGTAGGCAAGCAATGAGTAAACATATTTCATTAAAACATTCTTCTTTAATGGATGGGGTGGTCTAGCGGTAGAGAGCTGGACTGCTAACCCGTAAGTCTCGAGTTCGAATCCGAGTTCAAGTCAGTAGACTGTCCCTGAGTCCACGCAACTCTGATGGGTACCTAACTCATGTTAGGGAAAGTAAAGGCGGCTGGGCATAGTGCTGACCACACTATCTCTTCATATGCTGAGGTCACAGAAACAAGTAAACTACTTCACTTGCCCCATAGACCATCAGGTTTAAAAAGGGAACTTTACTTTTACTTTACATTCTTCTTTAGTTCTGTGTTTAGCCCTAACTATGGACTACAGTACTTCATGTAGGGAGCACACTTGTTTGTCACTCACTTAAAAAAACAGAGAAAATCAGTCAAAAGTTAATGTGGGGCTAGGAGACCCACTAGAAGGGGTTAAAAGTCAGTGTGACTTCTTGTCCCTGACAAAATTTGAGGCAACATCTTGTTTTTTTGCTAGGTCTTTATAAAAGTTACTATTTGAAATCTCATAAATGATTAAATAAAGATTCTTTTCTTTCATGAATTGCGATGATCTGTTCACTTATTTTTAAATTTTTATTCATGGATCATGAGAAATTATATTTGTACCCGGTGGCATGACTAGGTTGGGTATCACCCTGTGATGTAACTCATGGTGTGGTACTTCAAATGTATTCAATTAAAATTAGTTACTATTACAGATTAATTTTATTAGGCCTACATTTACAAATATTTAGCTGCAAAGCTTTTGAGTACTAATTTATTACTAAAATTGTGTTTTTCTATACAGTTAATGTTAATCAAAGTTTGTTTGACTAAAGGGAAATTTCAGTATCAAAAGTTCGGCTTGGCGGCTGACATTATGTGAAATCCTCTAGTACGGCTTGAAATTTATATCAACCAAAAAAATACGTGTATCAAATTATGTCTCGGGCTTGCTATTTACTCCATAATTCCGCACGTATGTTATGCATTTTCTTCTACTTCTCGCATTTTACCCCCTCGCTCTTTCAATTGAGCATTTTACTAAGACCCATTATCATTAAACTTAATTATAATTACTAGTGCCTGTAGATTTAAATCAATATTAATAATATCTAAATGATGATGAGTGATCTAAAACCCCATTGCTAAGAAGATTTTATTTTCAATTTTGGCTTCATCAGACACTGGTATAACTGAAGACCTAGATCTAGGTTGAGTAGATTCTATCCAGAATGTCTTGGTTTAGTTACCTACCTGTTGGTATTCCTAGCTCTTTGCTTCCCCTCCCAAAACCAGCAACAACTGTCCCTTCAGCGAAATATGGTAGACAGCTGTCGATTTCTGCCATTTGTTTTTAATTTGTTGAAGATCTCAAGAAGTCTGGTCTAATTTAATTTTGTAGGCTAATTTTTAAAAAATTTAGTCTAGATCTGTAGTTACAATTTTACAAGTAGACCTAATGAACTAACTTTCTCACTTAGGCCTATTAAAAACAAATTTAAATGACTCAACTCAAATTTGTTTTCTTAAGTTTAGTCAAGTTTAGTGTTTGTAAGGCTAGGTGTTTAAATAATAAATAACAGGAGTTATAGGTAGATCTAGATCTAGATTAAAATTAGGCTTCTAAATTATTATTTTATTATTGAGTCTGTATATTAATATAGTGCTGCTTGCTGACGAAATTACAACACACTACACACTGAAGACAGACAACTGAACTTATTTCCACCTCTAAATAACGAAAACGAACGTAGACAGCTAGATATAGCGAAGTTGTTATTGGTATCCGATTCTATTATAAAACCATGTACTGGTTGTCTTAAAATAAGCATGAGCCAACTTCCGTAACATTTTAATGAAAACCGCAAGCTTCAGGGCCTACTTTGTACAACATGGGCCTAATTTATTAATTTTTTTTGTATTTGCAAAGTAGGCCTACAATAAAAAGCAAAATTAAACAACATTTATTCAAACAAAATATTTTAAAAAGCAAAAAAAAAAAATTGAGAGAGCAAATATTTAACATATTCCATTATTTTCTTTATATGCGCGGCTCATAAAGACTATTTTTTACAACTTTAAATTCTTCATTTTAATAAAATAATTTATTTTCTCCTTTTTAGTGCATAATTATACAGAAACTAAAAGTTTGTTTATCAAAACAATTTTTTAGAGATGTTTTTTTTTACTTTATTGTATACAATGTATAGTGTCGTACTGAATAATTAATAGATCTTTTGGTAGTTTTCGTTGTTTTACACCTCCCTTCTTTATCGCATACGGAATATAAAGGGTGTATGGTAATGTAATCTTGCGAAAAATCGTAATCGAGATTTTGACAAATTTTGACCTTAGCTGCTGTGCAACCTGATGTGTGTGTGTATCAGTGGCGTAGCCTAGGCAGGGGGGGGGAAGGTTAGGGGGGTCATAACCCACCCCCATAGACCCCTCGGTATGTATATATATATAAAGTATGAGTGGGGGGGGGGTGCAAATCGAAAGTTTGAGAGGGGGTGCAAATCGAAAGTTTGTCCCCGGGTAAAAATTGGAACCCCCTCCTTGAGACGATCCTGGCTACGCCACTGGTGTGTATGTGTGAGTGTAAACACGATAACTTATTTAGGCCAACTGTTTCGGATAGGTTGTCGACTTGTCGACATTTCAGATATATATATATATATATATATATATATATATATATATATATATATATATATATATATATATATATATATATATATATATATATATATATATATATATATATATATATATATATATATATATATATAATCTAAGTATTATATTAAATTTGTAGTTTTCTTTCACATATAGACACATATCTTGATGCTTTTAGACCCTCCAACCAGTGGCGTAGCGAGGTCGGGTGTCACCCGGTGCGGCACTTAATGGTGTAACCCCACAGAGGGGTAGCGACTCTTCCCGGGGACAAACTTTCAAATTTTCGATTTGCACCCCCCCCCCTCAAACTTTCGATTTGCACCCCCTCAAGTTTTTCTCTATATATTTTGCTATTTTTTGTTTTTTTGCCTTGGTGTCACCACCCTGAATGGTGTCACCCTGTGCGCTCCGCATCCCCCCCCCTCACTACGCCTCTGCCTCCAACCAAATCGTACCAATTATTTTAGTGGCGTAACAGTCATGTAACCAAGGTGGACTAGTTCACGCTCCCCTGAGGCCCTACGAGCCTCTGAGCTTTTTAAGTAAATAAAGTGTTGTTTACAAAGGTGACGAAGATGCCGGGCCTGACTTGAAGTGAAAAAACATTTGTGGACAACTTAACTTGACTGGGGATAGAAGGCTCATGTGGGTTTTCTGGGTATATATATATATATATATATATATATATATATATATATATATATATATATATATATTTGTAACAAACGCAGCAATGCAAAAATAGTGGAGGTTTCTGGCTTCATTAGTAATTAGTAAGATAAAACAGCCGCCCTGTTTCTTTTAAACGGCAAACATTTCTTGCAATTATTAAATAGGCCAATAAACAATATTAAACATAGTAAACAAAACCATATGCCAGTCAATAAAAAAACTGTTCAGATCAACTAAAATCATGCAATACACTATTAAAATTTGCTGTGAGATATTTTGTCTGAGATATTTTGTCTGAGATCAATTGTCCATGGTATCATATGTCCTGATATATTTTGTCCTGGTATCTTTTGTCCGTGAGATCATTTGTCCTGAGATCATTTGTCCGTGAGATATTTTGTCTGAGATCATTTGTCCTGAGATCATTTGTCATGGAACCATATATATATATATATATATATATATATATATATATATATATATATATATATATATATATATATATATATATATATATATATATATATAGGGGGTCTATGGGAGGGGTTATAACCCCCCCCCCTAACCCCCCTTGTTTACGCCACTGCCCCATTCTTCCATATTTACAGGATATTTTGTTGTGAGCCCTTATGCAGCTCAGCTGGTCGTTTATGTGTGTGTGTGTGGGGGGGGGGGGGGGGGGGGTTAAGGTGTAATTTTTTTGGATATCAGGAAATACGATAAAACCTACCTGTGATCACTTATTGATCTAAATCTATTGTATAAATAGAAATTGTATAACATAGTAAAACCAACATGTATGAAATCATCACAAGAGCCTCTATAGCAAATAAGCTTTGAAATAAGAAAATATAACAAGATTTCTTTCTTCAGATAAAGTCTATTAATAGATTGGGTCTATGGGGTCATATGAGGGGAGGGGAGAGCCGGTTGAGTTTTTGTTACAATGTGTGACGATGTCGGGGGGGGGGAGGTTGAAAAACGCGCTCAAGAGTCATTTTAAAAAAAAAAAACCTCTAAGGCAGGGGTCCGCAACCTATGGCTCGCGAGCCGCATGCGGCTCTTTTGGTGTCGAGATGCGGCTCTTTAGCTCCATACATAAATATTAATAATTATTTTATTTTATTTTAAAAACTCACAAAAATATTGTTCTGCAACCCCCGGTAATGAACGATAAAATAATAAACATAAACAATAAACAATCGCTATTCTATTAGAATATTTAGTTACGCCATGTTTCAATGTACTTCCTATAACTTGTCTATCCCAAATTGCAACATTCAACTTTATGGTGGAGATCACAAAGAAAATAACGAGCTAAATCTAAAACTGCACGGAAAGGAAAACCCAGCCTATACCTTGCTTGAAGAAGACGATTGTTTCGAAAAAAAATTGCTTCATTTTGTTGAAGACACGGAGAGCAGTAAATTACTTTATTTTGAAAAATCTGAAAAAAAAATATGCTAAAACCAATGCTACTATTAACATGAATCACTTCAGTATTATTATAAACAAAATGAAGGATGGGTTCACTGAGAGATTTGAGCAATTCAAAAGAAATGAAAGTACGATAGGACTATGACGTTCATAGTAGATTCTCTCAACACAAAAAAAAAAAAACGAGATTAATTTAACTATTTGGAATTGATGCTGGTTCGCTTCAAATTAAATTGCTAGATTTGAAAACCAAAAATTTGTTGAGCGGTAAGTTCACAGATCTCAAGGTGAAATTAGATGATTTGAAGGTCCAGTAAAACATGCACGCTTCACTGTACAAATGGACAGCTCTAAAAGAAATGCCCCGAGTTGAGATTATGTGACGCATGGAATGGTCTTGCTGGATGCTACAGTAAGGTGAGGGAGTTAGCATTAGGAGTGCTGACGATCTTTGAAAAAATATTTTTTCTTCCGTCCCAAAAGGGTGACGACCCCTGATCATCCTGAATCTATATATATAATTCTCTTCTGGGAGCCGTTAGAAAACAAGCTGCAAACGCCTCCTTGCAGTTCCCTCTCTTTCTCTCTATCACTATCACTACCACACCCACCCCACCCCCACATGGTCTGGTGAGCTGTGGTCACGCTAAATATTTACAAATCGTAGAGCCGGGTTTAGTGACGGCTATTAGGGGCAGATAATTTAGTTTGAAACGATTTTAAACTTACAGGAGGTAACTAAGAGGAGGCTGCTTTCACGGGGGGGGGGGGGGGGGGGGTAGGGTCGGGTTTAGGGGAAAAGGGGGGGGGGGTAGTGTTTTAAAGTAAATATTTTCAGTGGTAGCATTGAATTACTGAAAAGTAGAAAATAAAACAACTAGATGGCGGCGTATGCTACGTCGCGGGTCGGCTCGTTACGAATATTGAGCAAACGGGATACTGCGCACTCGATGTAATGCTTGCAGTCACCCGTTTCTTTTCACAATTTTATTATTTAATTTTTTTTTTTTTTTTTTTTTTAATACTTTTATTTGCAATTAAAACAAGTACATCAACATCACATTTTTTTACATAGTTTCAAAAGAAAACGAAAGGTTTTAAACATGTACATAATGAATATTTACATGATGTCATGTATATGATTATAACAAAAATTACAAAAGATGGCAGTAAAAGGGGTGAAGGTCAAATAAACGTGTCAAAAGTCTGGGTGGGGAATGGAAAGGATATTTTTCCGAGAATGACAAAGGGCCAGTGGAGCATTTTCAATGTAGGGAAACAAATTAGGTTGACAAGTTAAAAGAGTGTTTATTTATGTACTGGTCGCATTGAGTTTTCAAAAGGTTGCTGTGTAAAAAAGGAGGGGAAAGAAACAAGATTTAGAACTTTAAAAAGTAAATGAATAGATATTCGAAATTGATGTTGGGGTGGGTGGTGGGGTCGTTGGAACAGTTAAAGGGAAGGTGGTGTTTTCATGTCTGAGGGTAGGTGGATAGAGGGGGAGAGGGGGGAGTGGGTAGATGTGTCTGACGAGGCGTGGAGAGGGTGACTGCGTGTTTTAAGGCAAGCCAAGCGTCAAATTTTGTGCTGTGTTATCTGATTGCTGAAGTGTTTCCATTTGTAGTGTTTGTGGATGGGGGGATGGGGGGGGGGGAGGGTTTGACGAACATTTTGCTGTGTGAGCGAATTAGTAGGAGGGTGAAAGGTTGGTATGTTCAAGTCGGTGTTTATGTTTAGATGAATGTTTAGTACCGACAGGTTAGGGGTGTGTAGGCCTACACAGTAATCTTAGCCATAATTCCATTGAAACTGTAAAAGAAAAACATTTTGAATCTGTGTAAATTAAAGAGTTAAAATAATACTAGTTTTATATTTAAATTAGAGCCAAATTATAAATTTTTAATATATTAAACAGATAAATCAAATTAGATAAACATTGATTGCTTTTTTTTGTTTTGTACAAATGAAACGCAACATTAGTTCTAATAAATTTGATTTTGTTTCTATTTTAAACCATTATTGCGAACTTACTTATAAGTTATTTCCCTTTACAACTTACTTCTATACTAAGCATACTTAGTTTTGCAATTTTGTCCGTATGTTTGTGCGCAGTATTTCTTCCAGACTTTTTTCTCGGGGGGGGGGGGGGGGGGCACTTGAAATTTTCGGGGGGGGGGGGGGGGTAGGGGCGGTAGACTTTTTTCGTCTTCGGGGGGGGGGGGGGCGGACACTGTTAAAAGTATATATTTTCTACATAAATTATATAAATTTCATTTCGTTCGGGGGGGGGGGGGGGCGGTAGAATTTTTTCGGGGCGGGGGGGGGGGGGGGGGCTTTCCCCCCCCCCCCCCCGAAGAGATGCCTGGAAGAAATTATGCTTGTGTGTGCGTGTGTGTGTATGTGTGTCTGACCGTGCACACAATAACGTGAGTACTGTTGCAGCTAGGACAGGGGTCGACAACCTGCGACTCCCGAGCTGCATGCGGCTCTTTCGATCTCAGGATGCGGCTCGCCATAATAATTATATTATTTTCTTTTCATAACTCAAAAAATATTATACTGTAAAAACAACTTTAAACAAGATAAAAGCATTACCAACTTCACAACTGTGCTGTGGCCAGCCCCGTGGCATGGTCCCACGTTTTCCACTACCGAAGTCCACACTATTTTTCCCGAATATTTTCAATAGTAGCCTAGTTGCTATTTTATTCAGAAGGCATTTTTTTTTTATGAGTCAGTGTGCATTAAGTTGATTTGAGTGAGATAGATTTTTAGTTATTAGCTTCTAAATTGGGTAGGGATAGCATCTGCTATTTCTATTAGCAGAGGCGTAGCGAAGGGGGCGGGGCGGTGGGGTACATATGTCCCCGGGCGCCGACCTTAGGGGTCGCCAAAATGGGTAGAAAAAGCAAATTGAAAGTTTGAGGGGGAGGGGGGTAAATTGAAAGTTTGAGGGGCGGGGCTGCAAATTGAAAGTTTGAGGGAGGAGGGTGCAAATTGAAAGTTTGTCCCCGGGCGCCGGGAAGGTTCACTACGCCTCTGTCTATTAGAAGGATGAATGTATGTATCATTTCTTGAAATTACTCACCTTTAAATGACCCGCCTTTTAGAATAACCATAGTTTTTTTCTCTGTCAAGCTCCATATCCCTAACCTATACCATTCCCTATTGTACTTTTAGGTATTGAATGCATTAATAATGGTCTGGGGTTATGACCTACTGCAGTTTTTTTTGGCGGGGAGGGGGGGGGGGGAAAGGGATAATGTACAAGGGGGTAATAGTCTAATAGCAGGTGGGAGTAGGGTAATTGACAAGGGGTAATGTCGTGCTCCCTCTATCATCATAATAATCAAGTTGTTTTCCCCCCAAAAAACAAAGTGTAGTTTCCTTTATGATCACAGGATTCTTAAAGGAAACATATCGTGTGGTTCACAAACAAGGATTTGTTGTTTCCCCAAAAATAAATGAGCTGTTTTCACAATCAATTAATGTTTGATTCCCACACCATGTATTAATGAGGATTTGAATTTTGTTATTCTCAATTCAGGCCAAATAGATGGACAATATGATGTACTTAATAAGAGAAAACTAATAAATTCATTGACTTTAATTACAGAACAGTTATGAAATGTACAACAGTTGACAGATGTCACCATGCTAATGGTGTGTATGACAGACACTATGACAGACTGGCATTGATAATGATGGTCCATCAAATTATGACAGACTGGCACTGATCATGGTGGTCCATCAAATCATGACAGACTGGCACTGATCATGGTGGTACATCAAATCATGACAGACCAGCATTTATCATGGTGGTACATCAAATCATGACAGACTGGCATTGATAATGATGTTTCATCAAACAAAGACAGACTGACATTAATGGTGCTCTCTCAGAGTTATAAAAGACAACATAATAATGTCAAATGTAAACAGCTGCAAGCCTAACATATCATCAACACACAAAAAACCCATGAAAACATAAAAAGTTAAACATTTTATAAAGAAACCTGCTGAAACAGGGGTCAAAAAAGGTCATTAGTCAAAAGTAAACGTTCAACCTGTTTTTAATGGAGTTATAGCTTGTACATATTTATTTTAAAAAAAAAAACGACATTTTAAAATATTGCTTATTTTATATAGAACAAAAACATTCTGTTTTGAATAATTGCTAAGCAAGTTGGTTCTTTTAAAATTTTACTTTTAAAACGTATCTTTAAAGTTTAAAATATATATTTCTTACCATATTTTAAAGATGGCTAATTAAGACTAATTAATTTTGTAGATTTACATCAGGCCATTACTACAGATCAGCAGGTATTTAGAAAGCCTCTTGTTTGAAATTTTGTGGAAAACTCATGTTCCTACCAACCAAAAACATTTTTCCAACCCTCTATCAATTGTGTCTTTACTTGTGAATGAAGTTGCCCTCAGTAAACTTGTAAGATGTTGGTTGGACATGTTTAAAATCTAGGCTAAAATGTTTTTAAAAAAATCTAAGCTATAAACAAACTGAAAAGACAAAATACATGTTTTAAAATTGCACTAATTAAATGTATTTTGGTACAATTATATCAGAATAGTGTTAACTTGACTTTGTTTGGTTAAACTCATAGGCCTATATTAACAACTTTGAAATAAACATAAAGAGATAAATTTTCGTGATGATATAGCCTATTTTCCATTTAATTAATGAACTTTCTGCAAATAGCGTAACAGCAACTGAACGTACATGTAAACAAAGTCAAAACAACAGTAAAATAATTTATACAATTAACAAAGTTGATGGAAAATAATTAGTACCGGTATAATTAATATTTTTAATATTCCACAGTTGTTGTAAATGTACGAGTTTATTTTCAACCATAAACCTGAAATGACCTGTACACATTTTGAAATGATCATTTTACAATTTGATTTTGCAAGTAAACAAGACTTACAATGTCAGCACAGTTAGCAAGACTTGAATCAGATAAGGGGGGGGGGGGGTCATCCCCTTATGATGTCAAATGAATAGGAGTTTGGAGGGTGACATGTTAATGCATGTCTATGTGGGGGATGGGGGTGTTTGTATCTAGGAGGGTGTTTTATTTTTAACATCGAAATGTAGTTTGGGATCATGTTGAGACCCATACGTTAAATTTCACATCAAAATACTTCCATATTACAACAAACATATTACATTTGCATTCACAATGTGGTCATTTAAAAAATTAAATTGCTGAGCTGGTCTTCAAACCCCCCCCCCCATCTAAACAGATAATTTAACCTTTCCATCTATGTTAATACAATCAGCATTTGTCAACATCTTAACTGAATTAATAAGGAAAATGCTCTACTTTTAGGGCCCAATTATGTGGCATTATGACTCTTTTTATTGCTTTGTATAACATCTCTTTCCAAAAGATACATGTTTAATACCCTGCACCAATGTTTTTGTTGAAATGGAATGTTTTCAAAGAAAAGAAAAGCAAGCTATATTTGCTTATACTTTTTAAAATTTCATTTATTTTTCTTAATACATTTGATTGTACTTTTTAATAACAGGCTTTTTCAAAAAGATTTTGAGAGGACTTTTTGTGTTTGTTGATGAGAGATGGGGTCTAAATTCAATTTTTTAGTGGAAGTCATAAATGGATGACCCTTAACATCAAATAAAATTGAAAACATTATGAGTAGGAATCAATTTCAACACAATGGTCATTAAATGTACAAAAAATATATCAGTAAGTTGTAGGTGGATGTTATATTTGTATCAGAACTAAAGAAAATAATCAATGAATATCATGTCTAGAATCTGATGGATCCACTGGCATTAATAAAAGAGATTCCAGCGTTTTTTTTACTATCCCATCTTAATTGATTCAGCTGCAAGCTACGGTTCAGCTACATGCAATTGCAGAAGCTTCATCTAAACAAGTGCTATATTTACATTTCTTGTAGTCAATGTTTCAAATAAGCTGGTTTGTCACATTTTGTGAAATACAAATAGCCTTGTGTATGTCATTTTAAAGCGGAGTGCACACAAAATTCAAGAAGTCCACAAACCAGCTTCTAAACGGAAATTTGCTTCTTGTATCTTCTTTTGTATTTTTTAAATCGGACAAGGAGTCACATATAACAATACAAAGAGCTAGATGAGACCTATTAGCTCTATAACACAGCTGCTCATATAGAACAAAACTTGTATGATGTACACACGATGTACACTGCCACACCACATCCAAGCATAAATACGACAGAACACGATTTATTACAAGATCAATGTATCACATATTGATGACCATATTGTCCACAAGCAGTGATGGTCCAATGAATGAGATCTTAAACAACACATTTAACAACAGGATCAAACCTTGCTGATAGTATAAGTAGGTCTAGGCACCTTCCCCTGACAGCAGAGACCCTATTGTTTTTATTGTACAAGAAAATACCTAGAAAATTCATCAAACTATATTAGTAGTATATCATAAAATGATAGCTGAGAAATATAAGACACCAAGGAATTGTTATATCTTTAAAGATGATAAGTGCTGTCCATAAACAACATTACACATGTAGTGGTCAAGCATGGTAAGTTTTGAATTTCTATACAGGTAAAAGGCTTAAAATTATGTGAAATAGCATAAATGTTAAGCCTACATTTAAATTTTTTCAGGAATTATGGTTATTGGGAAAGGAAAATTGGAACATTGTAAAATCATTTGACTTTTTGTGTGAATAGAGGGTAAAAAATGGGAAAACAGAAATCAAGTGAAACAGTGTAATGTGATTTATGGTCAACCGCAAAAATGATACAATTGTTTATCCTAACTTCTACATTTTTAATGAAACAAAAAGAGCAATAAAAAACCATTACATGTTCTTGTTAACCTCAGATTTAACCAAAATACATAACTTGTTTGACATGGTCAGCTGCAAAGGGGGAGTTACTTCCCCTGAATGCTGATATGGTTATAGGGGTACTTGTTTAAGTAGAGATAAATATATATTTTGGATTTGCTTGGAGTAGCATTGAAAAACATCATTGGAAACCACAGACAGAGCTACTGGTTATTGTGGTCTCTCAAGATTTAATTCATTAATTTAGAAAAAGGCAAAGAGCATTTCCTTGCGTTGTAGTTAATTTAATTATATCTTACTGTTGAATTACAAATTAAAAAAGAAAAAGAAAACTGACAATTAACATGCATGTTAGAAAATATGTATAATACATTTACAAGTTATTTAAAAAATGTTCTTTCATTTACAATGGAACAATAAAAAACAAAGTATTGGAACTTTACAAATATCACAAAATATTCAGGCTAACACCGGGGCTGTCACTTGTGTTCTTTTCACCCAGTAGCCAGTAGGTTTTGACTGAGCCTTTACCCTGTGGATGGCCAGATCAAAATGTTAGAAAACAAACCAAATTGGGCCAGAGTAGCCTATTAATCAAGCTTTTTAGTAAAAATTCATTTACTTTACCATAAATGTTTAACCTCGTAAACAATTTGGTGAAGCAGATTGAATTCAAATTGCAGCAAGTGTACAATACACACGAGAAACTAAACACACAGCTTAGTATTGGCATTTTAAATAATTTGGCTTCTCTACTCTAATCATAGGATAAAGTACCCAACAAGATCAACATTTTTTAAAGAAAAATACAAGATTTTCCTTCACATTAATTAAAAAAAAATCATCTTTAGACTTTGCTCAGACATAAGAACTCAATGCTGTATTAGTATAGTTATTTATTCTGATGTAGATATTAATGACACGTAGACCCACCTTCATCTCCACATTTCCCCTGAGCTCCAGGTCAAATGTAGCAAATGTGTCTAAAACTTCTTTACACTGTGGGCTGACATGGATCTTTAGAGCTGTGGAAGACATGTACAAATGTAGCAAATGTGTCTAAAACTTCTTTACACTGTGGGCTGACATGGATCTTTAGAGCTGTGGAAGACATGTACAAATGTAGCAAATGTGTCTAAAACTTCTTTACACTGTGGGCTGACATGGATCTTTAGAGCTGTGGAAGACATGTACAAATGTAGCAAATGTGTCTAAAACTTCTTTACACTGTGGGCTGACATGGATCTTTAGAGCTGTGGAAGACATGTACAAATGTAGCAAATGTGTCTAAAACTTCTTTACACTGTGGGCTGACATGGATCTTTAGAGCTGTGGAAGACATGTACAAATGTAGCAAATGTGTCTAAAACTTCTTTACACTGTGGGCTGACATGGATCTTTAGAGCTGTGGAAGACATGTACAAATGTAGCAAATGTGTCTAAAACTTCTTTACACTGTGGGCTGACATGGATCTTTAGAGCTGTGGAAGACATGTACAAATGTAGCAAATGTGTCTAAAACTTCTTTACACTGTGGGCTGACATGGATCTTTAGAGCTGTGGAAGACATGTACAAATGTAGCAAATGTGTCTAAAACTTCTTTACACTGTGGGCTGACATGGATCTTTAGAGCTGTGGAAGACATGTACAAATGTAGCAAATGTGTCTAAAACTTCTTTACACTGTGGGCTGACATGGATCTTTAGAGCTGTGGAAGACATGTACAAATGTAGCAAATGTGTCTAAAACTTCTTTACACTGTGGGCTGACATGGATCTTTAGAGCTGTGGAAGACATGTACAAATGTAGCAAATGTGTCTAAAACTTCTTTACACTGTAGGCTGACATGGATCTTTAGAGCTGTGGAAGACATGTACAAATGTAGCAAATGTGTCTAAAACTTCTTTACACTGTGGGCTGACATGGATCTTTAGAGCTGTGGAAGACATGTACAAATGTAGCAAATGTGTCTAAAACTTCTTTACACTGTGGGCTGACATGGATCTTTAGAGCTGTGAAAGACATGTACAAATGTAGCAAATGTGTCTAAAACTTCTTTACACTGTGGGCTGACATGGATCTTTAGAGCTGTGGAAGACATGTACAAATGTAGCAAATGTGTCTAAAACTTCTTTACACTGTGGGCTGACATGGATCTTTAGAGCTGTGGAAGACATGTACAAATGTAGCAAATGTGTCTAAAACTTCTTTACACTGTGGGCTGACATGGATCTTTAGAGCTGTGGAAGACATGTACAAATGTAGCAAATGTGTCTAAAACTTCTTTACACTGTGGGCTGACATGGATCTTTAGAGCTGTGGAAGACATGTACAAATGTAGCAAATGTGTCTAAAACTTCTTTACACTGTGGGCTGACATGGATCTTTAGAGCTGTGGAAGACATGTACAAATGTAGCAAATGTGTCTAAAACTTCTTTACACTGTGGGCTGACATGGATCTTTAGAGCTGTGGAAGACATGTACAAATGTAGCAAATGTGTCTAAAACTTCTTTACACTGTGGGCTGACATGGATCTTTAGAGCTGTGGAAGACATGTACAAATGTAGCAAATGTGTCTAAAACTTCTTTACACTGTGGGCTGACATGGATCTTTAGAGCTGTGGAAGACATGTACAAATGTAGCAAATGTGTCTAAAACTTCTTTACACTGTGGGCTGACATGGATCTTTAGAGCTGTGGAAGACATGTACAAATGTAGCAAATGTGTCTAAAACTTCTTTACACTGTGGGCTGACATGGATCTTTAGAGCTGTGGAAGACATGTACAAATGTAGCAAATGTGTCTAAAACTTCTTTACACTGTGGGCTGACATGGATCTTTAGAGCTGTGAAAGACATGTACAAATGTAGCAAATGTGTCTAAAACTTCTTTACACTGTGGGCTGACATGGATCTTTAGAGCTGTGGAAGACATGTACAAATGTAGCAAATGTGTCTAAAACTTCTTTACACTGTGGGCTGACATGGATCTTTAGAGCTGTGGAAGACATGTACAAATGTAGCAAATGTGTCTAAAACTTCTTTACACTGTGGGCTGACATGGATCTTTAGAGCTGTGGAAGACATGTACAAATGTAGCAAATGTGTCTAAAACTTCTTTACACTGTGGGCTGACATGGATCTTTAGAGCTGTGGAAGACATGTACAAATGTAGCAAATGTGTCTAAAACTTCTTTACACTGTGGGCTGACATGGATCTTTAGAGCTGTGGAAGACATGTACAAATGTAGCAAATGTGTCTAAAACTTCTTTACACTGTGGGCTGACATGGATCTTTAAAGCTGTGAAAGACATGTACAAATGTAGCAAATGTGTCTAAAACTTCTTTACACTGTAGGCTGACATGGATCTTTAGAGCTGTGGAAGACATGTACAAATGTAGCAAATGTGTCTAAAACTTCTTTACACTGTGGGCTGACATGGATCTTTAGAGCTGTGGAAGACATGTACAAATGTAGCAAATGTGTCTAAAACTTCTTTACACTGTGGGCTGACATGGATCTTTAGAGCTGTGGAAGACATGTACAAATGTAGCAAATGTGTCTAAAACTTCTTTACACTGTGGGCTGACATGGATCTTTAGAGCTGTGGAAGACATGTACAAATGTAGCAAATGTGTCTAAAACTTCTTTACACTGTGGGCTGACATGGATCTTTAGAGCTGTGGAAGACATGTACAAATGTAGCAAATGTGTCTAAAACTTCTTTACACTGTGGGCTGACATGGATCTTTAGAGCTGTGGAAGACATGTACAAATGTAGCAAATGTGTCTAAAACTTCTTTACACTGTGGGCTGACATGGATCTTTAAAGCTGTGAAAGACATGTACAAATGTAGCAAATGTGTCTAAAACTTCTTTACACTGTAGGCTGACATGGATCTTTAGAGCTGTGGAAGACATGTACAAATGTAGCAAATGTGTCTAAAACTTCTTTACACTGTGGGCTGACATGGATCTTTAGAGCTGTGGAAGACATGTACAAATGTAGCAAATGTGTCTAAAACTTCTTTACACTGTGGGCTGACATGGATCTTTAGAGCTGTGGAAGACATGTACAAATGTAGCAAATGTGTCTAAAACTTCTTTACACTGTGGGCTGACATGGATCTTTAGAGCTGTGGAAGACATGTACAAATGTAGCAAATGTGTCTAAAACTTCTTTACACTGTGGGCTGACATGGATCTTTAGAGCTGTGGAAGACATGTACAAATGTAGCAAATGTGTCTAAAACTTCTTTACACTGTGGGCTGACATGGATCTTTAGAGCTGTGGAAGACATGTACAAATGTAGCAAATGTGTCTAAAACTTCTTTACACTGTGGGCTGACATGGATCTTTAGAGCTGTGGAAAACATGTACAAATGTAGCAAATGTGTCTAAAACTTCTTTACACTGTGGGCTGACATGGATCTTTAGAGCTGTGGAAGACATGTACAAATGTAGCAAATGTGTCTAAAACTTCTTTACACTGTGGGCTGACATGGATCTTTAGAGCTGTGGAAGACATGCTAATGTAGAAGGCTGTTGCAAAAATTTTGCTGAACCTGACGAGCAGTCAGTGTATGTCATACAACAAGAGTGGACAAAATAAGTGCTAGACTTACGTAGACCATTGGACTCCATTCTTGATGCTGTATTGACAGTATCACCAAAGAGACAATAGCGAGGCATTTTAAGGCCAACAACTCCGGCACAGACTGAACCTGTGCACAAAAGAAAAATTTGCTATTGAATCAGTGTTAACATTTTCAGACAAAAAGTTGACTCCCCAATGTCATAATATTTAGCTACTCTGTGAGGAGAGGAACATTTCAAGTTTTAAAATTTAGAGATACATGTTATCTTTACAGAAAAGAATTGACCATTTTGTCATCAATAGCAGTGATTTGAAAACCTATGTAACCTAGAGACGTAGTTGTTGAACTATAGCCTACCAAATGACTTTTAGGATAATTAATTAATTAATTCAACAATAAATGTAAATCTGCTATTCTCTGACAGATTAAAAAAAAATGAATCTACATCAAAATAAAAGAATATCCGGTGTAAAATGTTACCTGTGTGAATTCCAATTCTTATCTTCAGCCTGTCATTGGGCCGGTGCCTAATTCTAAATGTCAAGGTCGCTTTCAACAAAGACAAGCTCATCCTGGCTATCTCACGTGCATGTAAAATCCCATTACGATCTGGCAGGCCAGACACAACCATGTAGGCGTCTCCTATTGTCTCAACCTTTCATTTTAAAAGAAACATGAGAGGTTGTGTAAGCATTCAAACATTTCATTTGCTTGATTTCCATAGCAACTTATTATTATTTATTTATTGTGAAGTTAATACAAAAGGTGAATAATTTTTTTACTCTATAAAAATTGTTGAAATAATTTTTAATTAATTAAAGATGAATGTTTTTAGTGATAAGACAATAATTAAGTAAAACAGTAAAGTGTTCATTCAGTCAAGACTAGTAGAGTTCATGTGTTTCTTTGACCACAGTTTAAGTAAGGATTGTTTGCTCAGCATTATGCCCAACACATTAACTTTTCCTAAAGAGCATCAAGTACACATTTGAGATGATGGATTTAGGGGTGTTCAATAGGCTCAAGCCATGGTACCAAACTCAGGACTTTTGAGTGGGCAATCATACGTTCTACCACTTGACCATATGAATACATAACAATTTATGCTAACTAAACATGAAGATAATAGAATTTACCTTGTAGACATCAAAGTTTTCAATAATGGAATCAAAAGTTGTGTACAGATCATTGAGCAAATCTACAACCTGAAATAGATAATTAAGTTTGATGGGATTAAAGGTTAAGGAAAGCTAGTGATTTGTTATATCATCAGATAGGATATTCCTTGAATACTTAGCATAAAGAGATGCAACATTACAGCAAATTGTGTTGTGTCATGATCTTGTAAGTAAATTCCACCATTTAATTTAAAAAAAAAAATTCTAAAAATAATCTCGTTTCGCACATCCAAACAGATGAAATGTGTTCTTATTCTCACCGCTTACTAGTTTTATTCTTCTAAAACATTTCTATATCTATCTATAAATAAAATGAACCCACCTCCATAGGAGTACTCTCTGCTGACAAGGCAGTGAACCCACAGATGTCACTGAAGTAAATAGAGACACTGTCATACCACTCGGCTGTCACTGATTCACCACGAATTAGCTGCGACGCCACTTTCCTAAAGCACAAAAAATAATGTAATGATGGAGACGAGTTCTTTACAGCATAATAACAACTACACTATCACATGCTGGAGTTACAGAGGCAGGTAATTCCTAATTTGTTGGTACTATTGTCTAGTTAAAAAGCATAACTTTGTTTATGTTCTTCTAAATGCAATCTAGCAGTTACTTGAACAAAATTTATATTTAACAATCAATATAGCATTTAACTTTTATGTTCCATCTGTCTAATTTGCCTCTTAAAAGAATACTTGGAGATTAAGATTGCTAAAAATTTTACTATTTTGTTGTTATAAATCCAAGAACCAAAAAAAGTGTTTTAAAAATCTGGCCATTTAAACTAACTTGGGCAGCATGTTGTACAAGAGATCCTCTGCTTTCTTCTTCTGCTGTAGATAATCTGCTGTCCTCTCCTCTACCAGGGCCTCCAAGTTGTTGGCGTACTGCTCCATACGGGAGAGAAGGTTGTCTAGGATGTTACCCTTGTCACCCTCCCTGGGTATTCATTGCAAACAAATTAGTTTAACCAATCAAAAGAACGTATTTAGGCTAAATAATTTTACAGTAAGGCTAACTAATTACAATAGGATTTTATTTTACAGAAGATAAAATATAGATACAATTAGTTTTATACCTTAAAAGACAGTCCTCATTATGCAATTAAAAAGAAGTAGGCTATATATTTTAAGTTTGTTGTTATTACAATTCAACGATTTTATATAATTTGTAATCTTGTGTTTTTGAGTATCTGCCTGCATTCCAACCTACCTATTTAGCTTTCTAATAATAGATTTCAGAGCTTGGAAATCTGGCCTGTCTGCTGGGTCTTCTGCCCAGCACCGTCTACAGGACAAAACAAGAGAGAAAACAAATTAACTTAAAACCACATCTGATACTTAACAGTAGATCTTAAGACCTGCACCGTCTACACCACAAAACAAGAGAGAAAACAAATTAACTTAAAACCACATCTGATACTTAACAATAGATCTTACGTCCTGCACAACATATAAAACATTATAGGACAGAAACAAATGATTAAATTAAAACCACATCTGATACTTAACAATAGATCTTAAGCCCTACACAACATACAAAACATTACAGGATAGAAACAAATGATTAAATTAAAACCACATCTGATACTTAATAATAGATCTTAAGCCCAACTCGACATACAAAACAGTACAGGACAGAAACAAATTAACTTAAAACCACATCTGATACTTAACGATAGATCTTAAGCCCTGCACAACATACAAAACATTACAGGACAGAAACAAATTAACTTAAAACCACATCTGATACTTAACGATAGATCTCAAGCCCTGCACAACATACAAAACAGTACAGGATAGAAAACAATGTCTAAATTAAAAGCAAAATTCAGACGTTTAAAATTTTCATATTACCACCAACAAATGAAAGTTAACAGTGCATTTGTTTCTAAGTTCAAATTTATTTTGAAATTAATTTGCAATTAATTTGAAGTATACTTAAACTTGAATTCACAATTCTTTGTTACAGCAATAACTAATTATTTATTTTGGCCATTTAAACAAAAAAAAATAAAGTTTTAATCAACTGCTTACTCTAGCTGTTCACAGACATACATTTACAGCTTTAGAAGTTAGGTAGGCCACGTACCGTATGACACCAGCCAGTTCATCACATGGACAGTCATATTCTTCAAGTGTTGGTCTAAAGTATGGCTTTAGGCCCAACTTTACCTTCTGATAAATTTCTGAAATTGGAGAACAAACAGGTTTTTGATGCACAGGTAACAAAAGTAAAACACTAATGGGAGACGTGGACGCTATGTTTCAGTGGCCAGGTAATACAAAAATATTCAGGCAAATTCTGTTCTCAACAGCTTATACTTTCCACCGCTAATTCCATGTACCCAGTAGAGCTGAGTTGGCTCAAAGGTAACTCTGATATATAAGTCATGACATGATTTACACCTGTATCCACACTCCCTCAAACCTTACCACCTACTCTCACACACACACACCCTTACACCTTGTCACACACCCTCCTCACAATCTATTACATACACACCCTTTAGAAAAAACACTCAAGTATGTATTACAAAAGAAAAAAATCAATGATTTTCCCTTCACATATGTAACATTAAAAATTAAATACCTTGCGGAGACAGGTCTAGATTCTGTAGAAAGTAGACGCCATTTCTGTAGACAATCTCCTGACAGATGATGGCAAAACTGTAAACATCTCCCTTGATGGTACCCTCTGGTGGCCTGTAGGCCATGCGTAACAGTTCAGGTGCCGTCCATAATTTATCTACATGGATGAGATAAATTTGGAATTTTTAAACAGCTCAGGGGCCGTCCATAATTTATCTAGATGGATGAGATAAATTTGGAATTTTTAAACAGCGCAGGGGCTGTGTATAATTTATCTAGATGGATGTGATAAATTTGGAATATGTAAACAAGCGCACGGGCCGCCCATAATTTATCTAGATGGATGAGAAAATTTTGGAATTTTAAACAAGCGCATGGGCTGTGCATAATTTATCTAGACGGTTAAGATAAATTTGGAATTTTTAACAGGGCAGGGGCAATCAACTTTTCAAGGTGGATAAAAAATGTGGAATATTTAAACAATGATTTACCTAAAACAAGAATGATGTATTAAGCTGGGTCACTAAATTAATTATAGTTTTGTCAAGTAAAATATTGTTTATTTGTAAACTATCTTATAGATGTAAACGAGATGTGTAATTAACAATGTAAACTTAAAATTTAAAAAAAGAAGTGTTTTCTTGAGAATATTTTGTTTTATTTTTAGATTACAAATGTATGTTTTTTTTTTGCAATGGAGTTTTATGACATCCTATCAACTTTTAAACAAATCTTTAAGATTTTTAAAATCTGTAGGCCCTAGGTACTTGAAATAGAAATAAAATTGAAAACTAAGACGACAGTTCTTTGCAGAGCTAGCTGAACCTACTATGGAAGTAGCTGTAACTGTGATCCTCCTCCTCGTTATTTCTCTCTAGCCCCCGCAAGTGATGGAGACCAAAGTCTGTGATTTTGACGACAAATCTGCTGTCAACTACGCAGTTGGTGCTCTTTAAATAACCGTGACTGCGCACCTCAGTCCCTTGTAGGTAGGCCATACCCTTTTTAAAAGAGAAAATTTACATATTTAAAGTCTGTGATTTTGACGACAAATCTGCTGTCAACTACGCAGTTGGTGCTCTTTAAATAACCGTGACTGCGCACCTCAGTCCCTTGTAGGTAGGCCATACCCTTTTTAAAAGAGAAAATTTACATATTTAAAATAAATTTTATAGTTAAAATAATTTTAAAATCTTAATAACTAATGTAAAAATGATTCTCTGGATAGTGTACCTTAGATTTCAGCACATAGACAATAAACTAAAACATAGAAAACAAGCAGTCCAAACTTACCCTAACAATGTCTTGCATTATTGAGTAGCGGAACATCCAATCCAATTTTATTTGTTCATTTTCCAAAACATCCTGCAACAAAAAAAATGATAATATTCAGTAGCAGAACATCCAGTCCAACTTTATTTATTAATTTTTCAGAACAACCTGCAATAATTAATGTTAGCACGAACAGGCACATGGCAACAAGTAAATGAATTACAAAATATTCTCTACTGTTTACAAGCCAGATTTAGGCACCAAATCTTGTCTGAAATGCTACAAAATCAGGATTCAAGCTAAAACATACAGAAAAGTCAAATTTAAAAAAAAAAACCAACAGGAAATACAGAATACAGTGCTAAATTCAACACACTTTTTAAGACTTTTTTGAAGACGGCAGTTTTTATTTGTAAAAATTATTTTATAAGTAGTTCTAAAAACAAACTAGTTCTGGACTACAAAGAATGTGAAAAATGTTTACCTGTAGACTTCCTTTAGGGCAATATTCTGTTAGAATACATGCATTTGGGAAATCTATACAAGCTCCTATAAACCTGACTATGTGATCATTTTGTAGATCTTTCATCTGGAATGTTTAAATTAAACAATAAAAATCAAACAAGTGCATTCGTAATTATTCTTTTTGACAACATATGCTAATAGCAATACTTTAAAAAAAGCATATAAGTAATAATAACCAATAAATATTTCTAACATAGAAAAAATGTGTAATAAAAAGTAATAAATAGGTAACAAACTAAATACTCACTCGTTTAATTTCCAATAACAAAGGTTTAGTGATAGTAATATTTGGTCTTGTGCTAGGTTTAATTGCAATGATGGCTCCCTAAATGTGAAAATTGAAAGTAAAACATTTGATATTGAGTTAAAAAATTCTGACTCAAAAGTAGTATAACCGGATGAGATATCACTAACTGTAATTATAACATAAAAGTCAATAAAAAATATTGTAAGTAATAATGTGTGATTGCAGCCCTTTGCTCCCCTGGGGCCACAAAGGAATATCTCAAAAGTAAGTCAGTGTTAGTTGCTATGAATGAATAGATTTGTGTTTACCTTGTAATATCCAGTTCTAGTAAACAACTGCCGATTGCTGGCATCATTGAGGTGGACGGCTATTGTATCACCTGAACACGCACTTGGCAAGGAACTTTTCTGTTAAGGTTCATTTGATAAGACATAAAAAAAAAACAATAAACAAAGAATTTTTTTATTGTTGATCTATGCATGCTATATAATAATTAATATATTAGCAGGGCATACAAGTTTGATTGTATTATATTTTTTTTTTGTTCATGCCCAAGACCCATGGGGCAGATGAACTTGGCATAGTAGTAGGGTTAATCTGTTTTCAATGAACTCTGCACACAGAGGGATAGTAGTAGTGTAATAGAGTGTGGTCAGCACTAAGCCCAGCCAACTTAGTTTCCTTAACGTGCCAGGTACCCATCACATCAATGATCAGGGGCATCAGACTCAGAGATGGGTGGACTGAGACATTCTACAAACTTTTGGGCTTGGGTTAGCAGTTGAGTAAAAAGCTTTAGATCTCTAGGTGTGAAACGGTCATGAAATAAATAGCGCCTAAGAAGGCCAACTAATGACTGTAATCGGGCTAATCAAGTAATCATCTAATTCTAATCACTTAATCTAAATCTAACAAAATCTAATGAAATCTAATGGAGTGGAGATATACAATCAATTTAGAATGATTTTAATAATTTTATTTTTATTAATTTGGATTCTTGAGTCTAGAGTAGAAGATGTAGATCTAGTTAATTACTATAATACTGGATTTTTATAGATCTAGATCTAGATTCTAGATCTAGAACTAGCTTACGATTTTCACGATTTTGACGAATTTCATAAACGCACAAAACCGAAACAGGAAGTGCAGACTGAACAACTCTAGTCAAATACACACATTTGTATATCCGCTGTTATCTCCCTTCAATTTTTGATCTAGTCTAGGCCAGCGACTTGTTTTATAATTATTTATTTATATATGGTTCCCAAAGTTTGTTGACATCAGTATCAAAATGTATTGAAAACGTTATAGATGCTGCACGATACAGCAGCAAAACTTCTGATCCTGAAGTAAATTAAAGTAAAAAAAACAAAAACAAAAAACAACTGACCCTGAGACTAAGCCAACTGTCCTGTCTATAAAAAAAAACTGACCCTGAGACTGCCCACTCTATCAACAACTGACCCTAACCCTAAGCCAACTGCCCTGTCTATAAAAAACAACTGACCCTGAGACTAAGCCAACTGCCCTATCTATAAAAAAAAAACAACTGACCCTGAGACTAAGCCAACTGCTCTGTCTATAAAAAAAACAACTGACCCTGAGACTAAGCCGACTGCCCTGTCTCTCCAACTTTTTGTTCTTCTCTGGCGCCCCAAACAGAATGTCGTCCCACCTGACCCTCCAGTTCATTTCTGCAAGCTCCGCCTCCAGCTTAATGTGTCTGATGACAAACAAATGGAGCTATATTTAGGCATTCATACAGAAATAAAATGCTATTTTGTCTTGTGAGTATGTGTAATCATGAAATAAAAAAAATATTGATATACACAACCTGTATATAAAGAATACAGCTATGAGAACAATTAGTAGTATCGATCCAAGAACGATGATGACGATACCATACTCAGGAAAAGGCTCTGGAATGAAATTACGAATACGATTATAATGTTATACATTTGCCTTTTATATGATGTCTCTACGATGTAGAGATGAAAGAGTTAATGTGACGATGTAGAGATGAATGGGTTAATGTGACGATATAGGGATGAATTGTTTAATATGACGATGTAGAGATGAAAGAGTTAATGTGACGATGTAGAGATGAATGGGTTAATGTGACGATGCAGAGAAGAATGGGTTAATATAACGGAACGATGTATGTAAAGATGAATTTACCTTCAGGTGGACATTTAGACCCGTCAAACCCGCATTTGGGCGTGTCAGGGGGCGGGGTCAGCCTGCCTCCAGCCCAGTGAATTGTTTTGTTTGGCACTGGTTCATATTTCTTCTGTTTCCCAAAATAATGGGCGACAACCTAGAGAGTAAATTAAAAAAAAAAACGAATCAGACAAAGACAGTAGTAATTATAAAACAAAACATTGGAGAATATATACAAAAAGAAACAAAAAACAAAAAGCAAATTCAAAATAAATTAAAAGAGTGAAGGAATTCAAAACAGAGAAAATATTAAAAACTTGACAGAAAAGGTCTAAGAGAAAGTAGGAAGATTTAAATAAAACAGAAATTATAAAAAAAAAACAACAACCATGATTTAAATGATTTGTTCGCTCGGTCTTCTACGTCGATTTTCAAAGAAATCCAAATCTAACATCATTCTTAAAGCGTGAACAAACAACTATGTCGGCAACCTTTTTGGACGGAAGAGCCAAATGTTACAATTTACCAAATATCCCAGTTTTTAAAGAGCCACTTACATTTTTATCTCAATATTATGATATTTGATTAGTATTATAATTTATATATATATATATATATATATATATATATATATATATATATATATATATATATATATATATATATATATATATATATATGTATATATATATTAAAATAAATAGCTTAAAATATGAAATAATATTTATTCAAATAAAAACATTAAAAGTATTAAAGAATTTTATCTAGCTCTGCTAGAATAATAAAATTAGTAATCAAATTATATAACTTTATTATTATTTACAACCTTACTCATAACTTGTTTTCAGTTTCAAGCACGCCTCTAGATTTTTATTTGTTTGTTGGCTTCTATACTTTGTATAATATTCATGCAAGAAAACGCTTGCTTGCATGAATATGTTGACCCGAAGATCTACAGTACTCTGCCAACTTCGTCACCTTACTGTTGCATCCTGCAAGACTTTCCCATGCGTCACATAGTAGGGCCTCAACTCGCAGCATTTCTTTTAGAGCTGTCCAGTTGTACAGCGTAACGTGCATGTTTTACTGGATACCCAAATCATCTAACTTGCTCTTGAGATCTGTGAACTTACCGCTCCACAAATCTTTCGTTTTCAAATCTAGCAATTTAACTTTGAAGCGAACCAGCATCACTCCAAATAGCTCAAAGTTAATCTCATTCGTTTTTGTGATGTGAGAATCTACTAAGAACGTCAGAGTGCTTGCATTTGTTTTGAATTTCTCAAATCTCTCAGTTAATCCATTCTTCATTATGTTTATAGTATGGCTGAATGATTCATGTTAACAGTAGCGTTGGTTTTATCATGATATATTTTTCAGATTTTTCAAAATAAAGCAATTTAACTCTCTCCGGCGTTAATGAAGTAATTTTTTTTTTCCGAAACAATCATCTTCTTCAAGCAATGCATAGGCTGGGTTTTCCATTCAATACAGTTTTACATTCATTTCGTTTAGTTTCTTTGTGATATCCACAATGAAGTTGAACGTTTCAATCCGGGATAGATAAGTCAATAGAAAGTACACTGCAATAGGGCGTAACAAATTATTCTAATAGAAAAGCGAGTGTTTATTGTTTATTATTTTATTGTTCATTACCGAGCGTTACAGAAAAAAATATTTTTATGAGTTTTGAAAATAAAACAATTATTAATATGTGTTTATGGAGCTGAAGAGCCGCATCTCGACATCAAAAGAGCCGCATGCGGCTCGCGAGCCGCAGGTTGCCGACCCTTGGTCTAGGTGCCAATCTTTTCATTAAGTAGTTACAATTGAGTCGAGTTTTGTCATTTTTTAATACCTTAAAATCAATTATTCTAAAATTATTAACATACCTGCGATCTTAATACGCGATCTTAAGAAATAAGCAATACTTCTAGATTTTGTTGCGTTATTACTTGCAAGATAATAATTGTTAAAGAACGAAGCAAATCGACGAAGGCAGTTTCTTGGAAACAAAAAGTGTAGGGGAAGTAATCTCGTTTCTTTAAAATAAATATTAATTTTCCTTGTTACCTCCCTTGTAATGTAAACGTTTACTAGCAACCAAAATATATGGTTTTCTTTTATTGTTCGTTAGTTCTACAACATTTGTTCGTTGCCTGTTTAAGGTGTTGTAGGTGTTGATGAAGGTGTGTGTGTGTGTGGGGGGGGGGGGTGTATAAATTAATTTACGAACCTGGAGAGTAGTGGCACCGTAATGTCATTAGTGAACTGACGTCACTATTGACACCTTTAATGTACTGGCGTCACTAATGAACTGTAACGACACCTTTAATGTGTCGACGTCACTATTGACACCTTTAATGTGTCGACGTCGCTATTGACACCTTTAATGTACTGACGTCACTATTGACACCTTTAATGTGCTGACGTCACTAATCTCCTAACACGTCTAATGACACGAAGCCACTAATTATCTGATTTAAAAAGATGGTCTGTGTGCCGTACTTTAGGGAATGGTTTGATTTATTGCGGATTTAGGTCATAACATAACACTCAATTAATATCGTTTTATTTCAATAATTTAGCATTACCTTGCTCAGATTATTAATTAGATAAAGCTATGAAATATGGAATGTAGCACAAAAATGTAGCTCTAATTATCCTTAAAACATATTTATAAAAAACAAAATTGGTAACGAAATATTTTCCCTTTATCTGAGTACAGTTTATAGAAACACATTATATATTTACAAATACAGAAATAAAACAAATACATATAAGATGTAACAGTATCGCGTTAATTACATTAAATTTTCTTTAATGATAACACGCATCAAAAAACTTGTGAAACGAAAATTAACAATTACATTTATCCTTGTCGTATACGTATGCGCAGTTTTATTGCTTTCGTAAATAACTTAATTACAGATCAAGCTAATTATTCTTGTAAAACGAAGAGAAGATCAAAGTAAATTAAACTACAAAGACAACGACTGGCCAACCGCACTGGGCGATAAAGAAGGGTAGTTGTTTCAACAAATTGTTAGCGATATCGAAACAAGCTTTTGGAGGCGCTAAAATTAACTTTTGAAGTTACAGAGACATGTTTATGGTGGGTTTGTATCCTTTTGAAGTCATCGCGTTAATTTAGTTATTTCTGTACAGCTTATTCGTTGATGTTTTATCCTAATCAAACATCAAATAACAGGGAAAGTGTGGTTCAATACTGAATCATAATCGATTACCTCAAACTTGTGTGTTTCTGGATTGAGGTCAAGCAGTGAATAGTCGGCATTTCGATCTCCGTTGGCATCGATACTGACATTTCCTGTAATACCTATAGACAAAAATATAAAAAAATAAACGGTGGATTTGCTTTGAAAACACGAAAACGGGAGAAAAACAAAATGACAAATGGGTTTTTCTTTTATTAAAGGACAAATAAAAATCGTCAATACCAAAGTATCAAATTATTTTTCTGCGATTTCATAGACATCATCACATACAAGCAGTGTTTCTTCCAGACTTTTTACTCCGGGGGGGGGGGGGGGGAGAGACATTCTTCGGGGGGGGGGGGGACACTGGTAAAAGTATATATTTTCTATATAAATTATATAAATTTAATTTCGTTCGAGGGGGGGGGGGGCGGTACATTTTTTCGGGGGGGGGGGGGGGGGTCTTCGCCCCCTCGAAGAGATGCCTGGAAGAAACTCTGCTTACAAGAGTAAAAGTTAACCAATCAAATTGCAAGAAAACAGTAACCCCGCAAATGTATTTTACCAATTCGTTTAGCGAGACAAATAAGTTCTAATTGTACTTCAAGTAACGCAGCAATAAAAGAACTGTTCTGTTGACAACTTCAGAAGTCTGGATGTAGCATGGCCTTGGTAGAGCTAATAGCGAAACCTTATCAAGTCTGCCTGCGTTAGTAATGAGCGCAAAATCGATGTAAGGGATTCGGCTCTAAATTTTTAAATTTTTAACAGTGCATTTCATCTGCTCTACAGCTACTTATATATATATATATATATATATATATATATATATATATATATATATATATATATATATATATATATGTGTGTGTGTGTGTGTGTGTGTGAGTGTGTGTGTGTGCGTGCGCGCACAAATTCTTGAAAGGATCCCTAAAAGTAAAAGTTATCTAATATTACGCTAATCATGACTATGCACTCTTGTCGCTTTATTTATACAATGTCCAAGTTTTTAATTCAATAAAAAAACAACAACAATTTTAATTTTTAAAATGTTTGGGAAACAACTGCCGCCCTCCCCATGACTATCGTCACTTACGCCCCTGTATTTTGGACAAAACAAATCATATTTCAATTCCACAATAAAAATGGCAAGCGGTGTATTGATTCCATTGTGGGGTTGAGATCTTTTGTTTAAATCGATTAGTCCTGTTTGCTGGTCAGTGACTGTGGACATTGTTTTTTTTTTTTCGCGCTGCTCAGCTCTGATTGATAAGTGCGATAAATTGTGTTTCACACCACGCGATCGCGTCAGTGCAGTGGATGGCCAAGGGGAAATAATCGGCACTGGTTATTGAATCGTGTACGGAATACCGTTTTGGTCAACTTTGTGGTAATGAAAAAAAAAGAAGAAAATGTGAAACGAAAAATGTTATTTTAAACCAGAATAATTGTTGATAATGTCTTATGTGCAAAGTTTCTTCCAGGCATTTTTTCGGGTATCGCCCCCCCCCCCCCCCCGGAAATTTTAGACCCCCTCCAGAGAAAAAAGTCTAGAAGAAACACTGCAGATATGCTAGAAAGGAGTGGGTGTGGTCGTGTGTGTGTGTGTGTGTGTGTGTGGGAGGGGGGGTGAAGATTTTTGAGATAATGTGAGGGTTGTTGTGTACGGGTTTAAATAAATATTGCCATAAGGAGTGGGTCGGGTGTGAGTGGGTGGGTGTGGCTATTCGTTGTAGCCTCAGGCTAGATGGTGCTAGATGGTGCTAGATGGTGCTAGATGGTGCTAGATGGTGCAAGATGGTGCTAGATGGTGCTAGATGGTGCTAGATGGTGCTAGACGGTGCTAGACGGTGCTAGACGGTGCTAGAGTGTGCTAGATAGTTCTAGATGGTGCTAGATGGTTCTAGATAGTGCTAGATGGTGCTATTTTGACACAGCCAAGAACTCTAAACTAGTTAAAACGAATAAAAACGCATATGGTTGTTTATCCACAAGACAGCCATTTAGACAGCCTCCAGCAGTGAATTAAAATGTCTTTTTCAATGACCTCGACATACAGGGAGATGGTGTGGTCAGCATCATGCCCATCCGCCTTTGTTCTCCTAGCGTGATTCAGGTACCCATCAGGACTGGGTGAACTCATGAATGTCATAGAGATTATCTCCCTTCTTACATATCCTATATCAAGTCTCCCATCCCTCAAATGTCTTATTCCATCTTTTTATCATTAGATGATAAAAGTAAAGTTTCCCTTTCAAACCTGACGGTCTGTGGGGCAAGTGAAGTAGAGTTCACTTGTTTCTGTGACCTCGGCATATGAAGAGATAGTGTGGTCAGCGCCATGCCCAGCCGCCTTTACTTTCCGTTACGTCAGTTAGGTACCCATCAGAGTTGGGTGGACTCAGGACGTTCTACTGACTTGAACCCGGATTCGAACTCGAGACTTACGGGTTAGCAGTCCAGCTCTCTTCCGCTATACCACTCCGTCCCACCATAAGACAATACCCATCTAGTATTCCATCTTTCTCTCATCGTTTCTCCCATCTCAAGAACATATCCCATCTCTCTTTTATTATACCTAGCAACTAAAATCTCTTATTAAATTTTTCCCAAGTACCTTATCCCATATTATTATCCTTATTCCTCCCAACTAAAATACCATATTTACTATTACCCAATACCCTATTTGAATATATTATCCCATCTTTCTATCATTATATCTGTCTAATTAAATCTCGTATTCTATCTTTCTATCATTATACCTCCCTACTCAAATATCTTATTCCATCTCTCTTATCCACAATCTAATTGTCCATCGGATATCGCTCCCCCACCCCCTCCCCCCACCCCCGGGTGTGAATGGCGATCACACATGATTTCATCTGAATAGCTCTCACCCCTACCCAGTATCCAAGGCTTTACCTTGTTTAAGAATACAGAATTTCCCAGCAAGGGAGATCACCTAGAATACAGAATTTCCCTGCAAGGGAGATCACCCAACATTATCGTTAAGATCTAGCTGAAGAGCGCGCTGTTAAGGGGAGGTAATGTTGCAGTCTTGTAGGATGTTGTAGGGACAGGGATGTGCAGTGTTTTATTTTTCAAACTGTGTTTACGTGATGAATTCACATTTGGACACGTTTAGCTAGACATAGGCACTTTAGCAGACTGAGCGGATTTTAGGTAGGTTGGGCGTTTTTGGTAGATTGGGCATTTTGGTAGGTTGGGCATTTTGGTAGGTTGGGCATTTTTGATAGGTTGGGTATTTTTGTAAGGTTGGGCATTATTGTTAGGTCTGGAATTTTAGGTAGGTCCGGCAATTTGTTAGGTTGGACATTTTTGGTAGGTTGGGCCTTTTTGATAGGTTGGGCATTTTAGGTAGGTTGGGTATTTTTGATAGGTTCGGCATTTTTTTAGGTTGGGTATTTTTGTAAGGTTGGGCATTTTTGTTAGGTTGGGCATTGTTGATAGGTTTGGGTATTTTTGTTAGGTTGGGCATTTTTGGTAGGTTGGACATTTTTGGTAGAGTGAAGATTTTTTATGTAGACTGAATATCATTGGTAGTAATGGTAGTTAGACGTATTTAAAAAAAAAATGATTTGACAATTTTCCAATGATTTTTGGCAGATTGGAAATTTTTATGTAATCTGGACTTTATTGAAGGATTGGACATTTTTGACAGATTGGACATTTTTATGTAATCTGGACTTTATTGGAGGATTGGACATTTTTGGTAGATTGGACATTTTTATGTAATCTGGACTTTATTGGAGGATTGGACATTTTTGACAGATTGGACATTTTTATGTAATCTGGACTTTATTGGAGAATTGGACATTTTTGGTAGATTGGACATTTTTATGTAATCTGGACTTTATTGAAGGATTGGACATTTTTGATAGATTGGACATTTTTGACAGATTGGACATTTTTGGTAGATTGGACATTTTTGGTAGATTGGACATTTTTGGTAGATTGGACATTTTTGGTAGATTGGACATTTTTGGTAGATTGGACATTTTAATAGATTGGACATTTTGGTAGATTGAACATTTTTGGTAGATTGGACATTTTTGGTAGATTGGGCATTTTTAGTAAATTGGACATTTTTGGTAAATTAGACATTTTTGGTAAATTTCGCTTTGAAAGGTTGCGAAAAGTTTAGTAAGCATTGTTACAGTGGATATTTAAGATACATTAGATATTTTATGTAGACATGGACATTCTAGGTCCTGACATATGGATATTTTTAGTTAGAAGCAATTAGACATCTGGACATTTGGGGTAACTGACATATAGCTAAATCGGTAACAATATATCTAACTAAGAACTAACACAATACTAATATTGTTACCTGAAAGTCCTTTCTTATAAAATTCGTCTTAGGTGAGACCCAGCATTTTACCCCCCCCCCCCCCCAACTTTCCGCTAATCGTAACCCTATGAAAAATAACGCCCACCCCTCCCCCCGCCGAACACCAGGTACATGAACCACCTCCACACCCTCTGATGTCAAATTTATCGCTAACGTTTATTCTTTAATAGCATCCATCTTTTAAATAGAATTATTTAAAACGATAAAAAAAATCTGTGCATATCTATGCAACATTTTTGCATAATCGATACCTCCTTTAAGCTATCAGGCATGAAGGAAAACGTAGAAGTTGGATTCGTTTCTTTTTCTTTCGCATAGCCGGGAATCGTAATCGAGTACCATTAACTTCCGGATGTCGCGAGTATCGATGTTGGCTATTATATGACGTCTGGTCGTGACTCCGAAGACTGATGAAGAAATGGTGAGTCGCTTCCCATTCTCCTGTCATTTTTCTTCCGTCCCCTGAGCAAGGGGATAACTCTGGTGACAGTACTTAAACTGGCTGTGAGTTGTGTCCCATTTTAAATCGGTAGGCGGAAGCTAAGCGATCGTGAATTATTGTCCCTTATAATGCAACTACGCATAAAAAAAAAACATGAATAGGTTTTATGTTTTCTGAAGTAATTAGTAGATGAAATGTATTAAAACTGCTTTATTTACTACTAAATATTAAATTTTATTCTTTAAAATATCTAAATGGATTTAATTAATTAGTGATTTTTTTTGTGAAAAATCAACAATAATAAAAGCTTAACAAAAATAAATAAATAAAGAAGTACATCGCTGCATAGAATATGCAAACAAATAAATCTGTTCCTGACATTTACTTTAAGCTTTATTTATTGTATAGCCATAAACCAAAAGCCTACCCCTCACCTCATATAAAAAAAAATTGAATAGCTTTTATCGACAACCGTGAGCCATATTTAATTAAACTCCATGCCAGCATTCAAACAACCATTTTTTAATTACCCGCAATCAGCATGTTGACCTAATTACTCCACTAACAATAAACTAAATCATAAAATAATACTTAATAGCCAAGTTAACATTTCATAAAACCACTAAATGTATTTGATTATGGGACAAGCAAAATTTTAGCGAGGCATTTTATACTGCTGGATACTATATACTATATGGCAAATTACGAATACCAGTAACGGTTATTGGCCTTTGTTTTTCAACATTGAAAAATATTGCCCGTCAATACTAAAACTATTGTGCACTTAATCAAGTAGAGTTAATGTTTTTGTAATGAAAGGAGATTTTTTGACTAAATTAAATATATTTTACTTCAGAATTTTTAATTGTTTTAAGGAAATCTTTATTTTCTGTTAGTTGGCTATCCAAAAGACAAACTTCGGATAGTCGACATTCGGATAGTCGATCTTCGAATAGTCGGCCTTCGGATAGTCGTTCTTCGAATAGTCGGCCTTTGGATAGTTGGTCTTCGGATAGTCAGCCTTCCGGCAATCAGCTAATGTTGGAGTTCACCTTTAGCTGGTTGGCTTTGTTCATAGGACTCATTCGAGTCAAAGTCTGAATGTTTGCAGGCTTACCTGAAAATGTCTGTTAGAGTGGTGACTTCCGTCAAATGTCCGGTAGACTTTTGACCAACCTGTAAATGTCCGGTAGACTTTTGACCCACCTGTAAATGTCCGGTAGACTTTTGACCCACCTGTAAATGTCCGGTAGAGTGTTGACCCACCTGTAAATGTCCGGTAGACTTTTGACCCACCTGTAAATGTCCGGTAGAGTGTTGACCCACCTGTAAATGCCCGGTAGAGTTTTGACCCACCTGTAAATGTCCGGTAGAGTGTTGACCCACCTGTAAATGTCCGGTAGAGTGTTGACCCACCTGTAAATGTCCGGTAGAGTGTTGACTCACCTGTAAATGTCCGGTAGACATTTGACCCACCTGTAAATGTCCGGTAGAGTGTTGACCCACCTGTAAATGTCCGGTAGACATTTGACCCACCTGTAAATGTCCGGTAGACATTTGACCCACCTGTAAATGTCCGGTAGAGTTTTGACCCACCTGTAAATGTCCGGTAGACTTTTGACCCACCTCTAAATGTCCGGTAGACTTTTGACTCACCTGTAAATGTCCGGTTCCACATCCGGTTGGTGATGGCGATGCCGTCCGTTATAGAACCGTTCTCAGCCAGAGTCTCATTGAGGGCCATAGCGTATAAGAGCACAGCGTCATGGAAGGCACCGACAAAGGAATTCACCTGGTGGGGTGGGGGAAATAGATGGAGGTGGGGTGGGGGAGTAGGTGGGGGTGGGGGTGGGAAGTAGATGGGAGTGGGGGTTAGGTGTGTGTGGTAAAGGATGTATGTGGTGTAGGGGAGTAGGTGGGGTTGGGGATATATTGGGTGGGGGAGTAGGTGGTGTAGTGGCGTAGGGGGTGGGGGTGTAGGTGAGGGTGAAGGTGAGAAATGAAAAAATCAGAATTTATTTTATAATGGCTTTAGCAGAATTTTTTTTTGCATTGACTGTATGTAGCGGAAGTAATTATAAAAAGGATCTCAGAAAACAACAATAAAATGAATAAAGAACAATAACAATTAACAATTTTTTTTTGCAAATATTTTAAAAAAAAGACATAAACTATTGTTTTTTTGGAGGAGTGTGGAATATCGTGGGACATGTAGCTCGGTCAATGATTTAACAAAATAGGTGTTTCTTTTCTCAAGGTACGTGTAATGTTTTGTTTTGGAAATTAATTTATCTCCATCTCTTAGCACTTGAGAAAAGCCTTCTCTTTGTAGTGATAGCCCGCTCAAGTTCTACACCCCGCCGTCTTGAGACTTTTGGGTCTGTAGTCGTTCGCTCTAACCCCCAACCCTGCCAAATTATTCCGTTTCCAACGCAACTATTGGAAATATTGGAATTTATGAGGAAATAATGAAAAACTTATGTTATTTAAAACCGGTTGCTTATGTTAATGTTACTTTTAAGAATTAAGTCGGAATGCGTCTATCAAATATTCAAATGTTTTTTATATGAAAGGTTAAAAGGTCGATAATAATATTTCATGTTAAAATGAAGGGTGTAATGTAAGTTCTGCGTTTTTACACGTCTGAAACATTCCGGAAATGGGGAAAGATGGGGTAATATTTAAATTACAACGTGCAGAATTTGAGGGGAGGTGTACTCATCATTTTTCTATTTTAATCTAGAGAGGAAAAAACCTCTCGAAGTTTAGTAAAATAGTTTTAAAATTAGTGCTGAGTTTTACTAGCAGTCTGTTTTACATTGAAATATTAACAAGAGTAAAATAATTATAATTAATTAAATCATGCGAATTTACCCCAAGCGATCTAAAACTTAAACGAAATACTCCCAGTAAAACAATAAAGGCCTCCTATACGCTAACAGTATCTGAGGGAAAGATAAGGATGTAACTGATGGTTTTCATTCTTTTGTAATCAACTAGACGACAATGAAGTAGATTGGGCTCACTGATGATGTATGTCTGTACTATTGAAATAACGTGATGGGGTATCGTTCTATTGGTCAAGCTATGAAGCTCAGCGCTCGTTGAACTAAACGTATGCAAATATTGATGACGTACTACACATGTCAACGTCAAGCTACCGATCCCAGACAATCGTTCAGCATGTCTGGCCAGTGACCGGCAGTGACCGGCTCGTCTAACCGGCAGTGACCGGTTCGTCTGGCCAGTGACCGGCAGTGACCGGCCCGTCTGGCTAGTGACCGGCCCGTCTGGCTAGTGACCGGTTCGTCTGGCCAGTGACCGGCCCGTCTGGCTAGTGACCGGTTCTTCTGGCCAGTGACCGGCAGTGACCGGCTCGTCTGACCAGTGGCCGGCTCATCTGACCAGTGACCGGCTCGTCTGGCCAGTGACCGGCTCGTATGGCCAGTGGCCGGCAGTGGCAGGCTCGTCTGACCAGTGACCGGCTCATCTGACCAGTGACCGGCTCATCTGACCAGTGACCGGCTCATCTGACCAGTGACCGGCTCATCTGACCAGTGACCGGCTCATCTGACCAGTGACCGGCTCGTCTGACCAGTGACCGGCTCATCTTACCAGTGACCGGCTCATCTGACCAGTGACCGGCTCGTCTGGCCAGTGACCGGCTCGTATGGCCAGTGACCGGCTCGTCTGGCCAGTGACCGGCAGTGACCGGCTCGTCTGGCCAGTGACCGGCTCGTATGGCCAGTGACCCGCATCTGACCAGTGACCGGCTCGTCTGGCCAGTGACCGGCTCGTCTGGCCAGTGACCGGCAGTGACCGGCTCGTCTGGCCAGTGACCGGCTCGTCTGGCCAGTGACCGGCTCGTATGGCCAGTGACCGGCTCGACTGGCCAGTGACCGGCTCGACTGACCAGTGACCGGGAGTGACCGGCTCATCATGCCGATGACCGGCTCCTCTGGCCAGTGACCAGCCCTCAGTATTCAAATACGGCTCAGGAGGTAATTAAGCAAGTCCAGATTTGATGATGACACGGGTCAAGCGAGAATGGGGGGAGGGGGGGGGGGCAAACAGTTGATGGGGGTAGCTAATGTCGGATGTTGTACATATGATGGTATAATGGGCGCTAATGTTGGATGTTGTACATATGATGGTATCATTGGCGCTGATGTTGGATGTTGTACATAAGATGGTATAATGGGCGCTAATGTTGGATGATGCACATATGATGGTATAATGGGCGCTAATGTTGGATGTTGTACATATGATGGTATCATTGTCGCTGATGTTGGATGTTGTACATATGATGGTATCATGGAAGCTAACGTTGGATGTTCCGCAGATAATAGTGGCACTAAAGTTGGATGATTTACACGCGTTAGATGTGCCGATCTATTGTATAGTTGAGGTTTTCTCATGGAGAGGTTAATGTGTTTTCTTTGGTTAATGTTGTGTTATGTAGTTTAGTTAATGTTGTGTTATGTAATTTGTTTAAAGTTGTGTTATGTAATTTGGTTACTGTTGTGTTATGTAATTTGGTTAATGTTGTGTTTTGTAATTTGGTTAATGTTGTGTTTTGTAATTTGGTTAATGTTGTTAGCTTTCGTTTGTTTGAGGATAAATAGACTTTCACAGTACACAAAAATCACCATCGCCAACACCAAGAAACCAACATCATCCCAAACTAAAACAACATTGCCAACACCACCAAAAACATTAGCACACGCATCGCCATCACCACCATACACAACATTATCAGCAGCACAAGAAACAAAAACCACCAGCCAAGCAGCAACAACATACCATCAACCACAACCATCATCATCACCATCATCACCACAAACCTTACCAACCACTACCACTACCATCATCATCACCATCATCACCACAAACCTAACCAACCACTACCATTATCATCACCATCATCACCACAAACCTTACCAACCACAACCATCATCATCACCATCATTACCACAAACCTTACCAACCACAACCATCATCATCACCATCATCACCACAAACCTTACCAACCACAACCATCATCATCACCATCATTACCACAAACCTTACCAACCACAACCATCATCATCACCATCATCACCGCAAACCTTACCAACCACAACCATCATCATCACCATCATCACCGCAAACCTTACCAACCACAACCATCATCATCACCATCATCACCGCAAACCTTACCAACCACTACCATCATCATCACCACCAAAATAATACCAACCACAACCATCACCCACCTCACCACAAAACTTGACAGCTACAACCTTTACCATCACCATCACTATCACACTAACCAACCATCATCATCACTACCACAACACCACCACCCACAACACCACCACACCACCACCACACCACCACCCACAACGATCCTTACCTCATCCTCCCCGTAGGTAAAATTCGGGTACATCTCCATGGTCCTGGCCTTGACCTCATTAGAGAAGTGCCGGTACTCGGCGGTGGTGGGTAGCCTCAACGTGACGGTCATCAGGCTCTCGTAGGCCTTCAGTGCCTTGTTGTTCCTCTCCTCGGTGTCGGAGGCACGGTACCAAGGCTTCTCGCTCGCCACCTTGCTGCAGGGCAGAGGCAGACGTGCACGTGTTACATCACATCATGGTAGGGGTGGGGGGGGGGGGAGTGGCGTAGGTTTTGTCATGGGGAGTGTTTGCAAAAATTGTTGGAAAATTGGGAAGGGAGTGGTTATATATTAGGAGATGTGTTATCTATTATATTATTTTTAAAAAGGGTTGCTACAAAAGTTTGTGTTGTATGGGTGAGACCCATTAGATATGAGGGAATTCTTAATACACGAGGGGGAAATATGCGAAAAGTGAGTGACTGATGCAACCCTCAACCCTCACCCAGGGGTAAACCTCTGTAACCCCTCCAAAAGATCCACCTCTCTTCACCCACCAAAAGGTCCACCTCTGTAACCCCTCCAAAAGAACCACCTCTCTTCACCCACCAAAAGGTCCACCTCTCTTGACCAAACAAAACGTTTTCTTCTTTACTTCTTTAATTCCGACAAATAGGTCCACCTCTCAACATCCACTAAAAGGTCCATCGCTCTACAATTCCCCTCTCCCTCCACAAAATTCCACCTCTGTAACCACACCAAAAGGTCCACCCCTCTACCCCCCAAAGGTCCACCTCTCAACATCCACCAAAAGGTCCCTCCCTCTACCCCCCCCCTCCACCCATAGGTCCACCTGTCCAGCCTGTGACTGACCTGCTGAAGAGGTCAACGTTGAAGAAGACGTACTCGCCGTTGTCGAAGTTGAGCTCGTGTGCCTTGATCATGATGTTCCTCACGGTGTTGGGGGAGGCACACATCACCACAACTGGTGACACAAGAGAGTCATAGTTACATGGTGTTGGGGGAGGCACACATCACCACAACTGGTGACACAAGATTGTCATAGTTACATGGTGATGGACGTTACATGGTGACTGGTGACACAAGGGAGTCATAGTTACATGGTGATGGACGAGGGTGACATGGTCACTGGTGACACAAGAGAGTCATAGTTACATGGTGATGGACGAGGGTGACATGTTCACTGGTGACACAAGAGAGTCATAGTTACATGGTGATGGACGAGGGAGACATGGTAACTGGTGACACAAGAGAGTCATAGTTACATGGTGATGGACGAGGGAGACATGGTAACTGGTGACACAAGGGAGTCATAGTTACATGGTGGTGGACGAGGGAGACATGGTGACACACGTAATGTGTGGTGAGACATACATGACCGCCTCTCACTCCTACAGTCTCAAGATCGGTATACGAACCCACGACTTTCGGGTGTGCAGTTATAAACTCTACCATCTTACAACGCCGTGCCCGATTTAGATTATATTGTGTATTAATGTGTCAAAACAGTATCTTTAACTTCCTGACTATAAAATAGCCTTTCATAATAAAGTAATATTATTGTAAAAGTTATTGTTATTTCATTAAAAATATTCTCATATTGTAAATACATAAATTATGATAAAATCTTAATTTATAATTTAAACATGAATAACAAACAATAATAATTATATATACAACATATAATTTTAAGTTTAGACAATAGACAAAACAATCATTTACTCATTGGTGGGATTGGGTGTGTATGTGGGGGATTGGGGGAAAAGGAGTGGTAAAATAGCTCGAATCCAAAGTTCAACTAAATCCCACATAAACACAGCCCCACAATCATTCTCTCAACATAACAATCCCAATCATTGCAATAGCGGCAGATCATTAGCCTTGCTGTTACTCGCTGTAATATATACACACCATAAACTGAGTTGTATATAAACACATACCCTACACACCAACTGGATTTAGTATACACACACTGACTGACTTATATATAAGCAAACACACTTCACCAACTGGATGCACACACCACACGCTAGTAAATAGCGTGCCACCAGCCCAATAACACGTTATGTTATTTATAAAACTAATATTCCAAATTACAACACACTTTCACAAAAATGGCGAGCAGGTTCTACAAGATCTGCAGAGTACTTTAAGTGGAAGATCAGATTGTCTTGAACACGATCTAGTGAATGTAGAGTACACTACGTGATCTAGAACCAATTAAGTATATTGCAGGGGAAGTAGGGTTAGGCTCTTTCTACCACCGTACTCATTAAGTTATCCTGAAAACTGGGAACCGAACTAGGGAATTTGGGTTAACAAGCGAATGCTCTATATCTCCGCCACACGTCACACCATACCATTCATGAAATTTGTTGTGTTATATTCATCGCGTTTTTCTCAGTCTTCTTTGTCGTCGTTCTTGATATTATCTATATAAGCCTAGATACGACCCTATCCTTATCTGTTCTATTGTCTCCATTTCGCCCATACTTTATAGTTTGGCACCTCGTACATTCGATCTCCCCTCCCCACCCTCCATTCACCCCCCCCCCCCAGTACCCCACTTACCCTAACCCTATTCACCACGGAAGCTTCCATTCTCTTACGTCTAAACTAATTCAATCACGTTCAATTACGTCCCTTTGTATCTTTTCAACCAATGGAATCGTTCCCGTGACGTCATTCCATTATTAGTAATAATTCACCCCCCCCCCCCCACGATTTATAACTCGGTTTTTGTTTTGGGGTGAGGTTATCCCGAGCTATAAATAGATGAGTTGTATAGGTAGGATTAATTGAGTACAGAGATGTACTCAACTGAAGAGGTGGGAGGGGCACATTGTTGTGGTAGTTTCGTTCAGGGCTGGTGCTAAAAATAGAAACATTTTTGTACAGGTATGGACAGGTGAGTAAATCGTGACAAAAGCTTCGACACCTGTAGTGGTTCAGAGGATGCTGGGTGAGTACTGTAGGGTACTGGTTGGGTACTATGGTAGTATTGGATGGGTACTATAGCGGCACTTAAAGAGTACTGGAGGGGTAGATGTACTGGATGAGTACTCTTGGGTACTGGATCGGTATTATAGGGGTACTGGATGGGTACTATAAGGGTACAGTATGGGTACTGTAAGGACACTATATTGGTAGTGTATGTTTACTAGAGGATTACTGTAAGGGTACTAGATGGGTACTGTAAGGGTACTGATGGGTACATTAGGGGCACTGGATGGGTACTGTAAGGGCAATGGATGTGTACTGTGAGGGTACTAGATGGATACTGTAAGTGTACTGTTAGGGTACTGTAAGGGTACTATAGGGGTACTGGATGGGTACTAGGGGAATGTTGCAATAGTGTTATATTCTTGCTATTGGTGAGACATCAATATATTCATGCAATACCCTCCTTGTACCCAAACAACTTAAAGATATATATCACAGTCCTTATGAGCCGCAGTAGTAATTATATGTAATCTATATGTATATGTTCGCTGTAAATATACTCTATATTCATCTGCTAGTTGTACTCTGTTTATCTGTAAGATGTACTATAAATTTATCTGCTGGACAGGGCGTATTCACGCCATTTATATTTTAAAAGTAAATATTCTCCAAATTTATCTTTAAATGCACTCTAATTTTATCCGTCTTCAGTAGTGCGGTCAAGCATTATTCGTGTTTCCCATATTTGTTTCCCAACAGAAAATAAAAAATTTGACAACGATTTGACGACAAAAGACAAACAGCAAAAGTCCACCTTCCCATGATTCACTGATGCAGTCAAGTGTAAACACACCCTCCCCCTCCCTCATATTCCCTTCATCAGTCCCAGCACGTACCCCAAGAGTACATTCCTTAAACTGTACGCATTATGTGGTGGGTCGTTTACTACAATAGTGAAGGGAAATCTTGCTTTAAAATAATTGGGGGTTTGAAGTATGAAAATAACAGCCGCCTGTGTTTGATGGTAGCTACCATCTCTTTGATGGTAGTTACCATCTCCTTGAAGGTAGCCATCACAGCGATGGAGCTGAAAGAATGATGTTGTGTAATTGGAACTACGTCAGAAGAAGCGGTTGTTGTAGTTGAGTTACAAAGCAGAGGTTTATTTGTGTGGGTTTGATGTCGTCTAGAGAGCGGGTAAAACCAAAATATAAAAAAAAATATCAGAGAAACTGTTCAAAAATTAGACCTGGGGCTTATGGATGCTTTCAGAACAATAAATGCTTAATACAACACGTAAATGTACAAGGTCTAAATTTAAAAAAAAAAATTAATTTTATCGAGTTATACCAGATTTTAAAAGCGTGTACAAAATGTTATTTTATTGTTCATATACATTAAATAATGACATCGTTTAAATAAAAAAAAACTCCAGGGTAGATATCTTAGGTACTATTTTATGCCCTAACCCAAAATCCAAAATCTAACTTTAAATTAACCGAATTTTAATACCATTAAACAACTGCAACTCTATCGAACTCTAAACTTTAATCCAACCCAACTCACTACCCTAACTCTAACCTTATAGCCTTGTAAAACCAGAACTACCCATCATCCTATCACTAGCGCAACAAATCCAATACTAGCCTTCGATCTATCACTAAACAAACGGCCTGGGCTCCAGATTTCCTCTAACAAGAACCTGGAACATTTCTGGAACATTTCTCTAAGTCCTAATCCTGCGACATGACTTTCATGGGCTCGAGGGGATTACGTCACAATTGCCCCAGGGAGAGGCGCCCGCTTGGTGGTACAAAAAACTATTTCAAGAAAAAAGTTTTCTAATTAAAATGAAATTATTTTTTGTTGACTGGTTAAGTCGTTGTATGTATTCAGACAAAATATTTGACAGATGTATCTATAAAACTGAGCTAAAAAATAAATTTTAAGTTGAAAAGAGGTTGTAGATAAATAATAAAAGTTGTCTTTAATTAAGCGACATTTTGGGGGAGGGGTGGGGGTGAGTTGAGGAAGGGGGTGGGGTAGTGGAGGAGATGGTGGGGTAGTGGAGAAGGGGGTGGGGTAGTGGAGAAGGGGGTGGGGTAGTGGAGGAGATGGTGGGGTAGTGGAGGAGAGGGTGGGGTAGTGGAGGAGAGGGTGGGGTAGTGGAGGAGAGGGTGGGGTAGTGGAGGAGAGGGTGGGGTAGTGGAGGAGAGGGTGGGGTAGTGGAGGAGAGGGTGGGGTAGTGGAGAAGGGGGTGGGGTAGTGGAGGAGAGGGTGGGGTAGTGGAGGAGGGGGTGGGGTGAGTTGAGGAGGGGTGGGGTAGTGGTGGAGATGTTCATAGAGAGAAGTCGTGATGAGTACAGGTTCAGGCTAGATTGCTCAATGACACCCTAACTCTACTTCATCTGTCGTGTTTACATATCGTTAGCGAAACTGGAATAATTGGGAGGCGGGTATTAAAGCGTTACTTAAGGGTTAATATAAAAGCAATGCACCATGTTCTGCACATAAGGGGACTGAAGCGGCCATTGGCTACTAACACGAGAATAGTTAAATCGGTACAGACGTGATCAAAAGAAAGTTCGCGTTAATTCACGAGATTATGCGTCTGCCTCTATGTACTATTTTTAGCTTCACAGAACATAGTCTATAAGAACATTTGTAAGAACCCGATAGAACAATAAGTATATATTTGATTACCTCAAAGTAACGACTAATATCTGTTTTAATTTTTTTTTATCATCATTATGCTAATTAAAAAGTATTTCTACTAATTATTTGTTCCGACCATTCAAAAACTTTTTTTTCTGATTTCTCTTCATGTAAACCAATCAGACATGTTTCTTTGAATATGTTTTCACTCTTCGGGAGATTAGACATCATTTATTTAGTAATCCTTTCTTTACCCAAACTCAACATCACTAGTTGGACTATTAGTTACTCACAGAAAGTAAATTTACACAATAACGTGCAAAAAAGTACAATTTGCACTGTATTTCAAATTGACGAAAATTAGGA